GCTGCACATTATCCCTTACGTACACTCTCCTTGCACTATTTCTATTTGTATTTGTATTTACTTGGACTATTTTAACTGTTTTATTGTGTTGCACTGTTGAAGGAGCCTGTGACCTGTGAAGGAGAAAGTACACAGATCTTGTACTTGAGTAAAAGTAGAAGTACTCAGATCTTGTACTTGAGTAAAAGTAGAAGTACCAGAGTGTAGGAATACTCTGTTTCAGTCAAAGTACTGCATTCAAAATGTTCCTCAAGTGAAAGTAGAAAAGTATTATCATCAAAATATAGTGAAAGTAGAGACAATAAAAGTAGTCGTTGTGCAGATTGGTCCATTTCAGAATAATATATATGATATGTTTTATAATGATTGATCATGAAAGTGTTCTCAAAGCTGGTAAAGGAGCAGCTAGTTTGAATGACTTTGTATACTGCAGGGTAGCTTGTGGATTTACTCCAGGTGGAACTAAAGTCTGATTTAACACTTGGTTATATTTCACATCATTCATCCAGATCTGTGAAGTAACTAAAGGGATTAAATACATGTAGTGGAGGAAAAGTACAAAGTAGCATAACATTGAAATACTCAAGCCTGTGACCTGTGAAGTTTTTCATTGACATAACTACACTGTGGCTATGTACAAACGACAATAAAAGCCTTGAATCTGGAAAAATAAATAGGCGTCAGCGTTTAAGCAGCATCCTGGTCGCTTGTCTTGAAGTTTTTTTTAACGTGCTTCTAAAGAAACTATATTGAAATCAGCCCTGATCTGAAATCAGCCCTGATCTGAAATCAGCCCTGATCTGAAATCAGCTCTGATCTGAAATCAGCCCTGATCTGAAATCAGCTCTAAAGTCTCCTCACCAGCATGCCTCCAGCGAACAGAGCGAACTTGGAGGAGTTGGAGTGAAGGCAGATCTGATGCTCTCCAGGTGTGTGAGAGGTGAAGGTGAAGCGGCCCTCTGAGCCGTACTGCCGCGACAGGATCACCTGCAACACACACACACACACACACACACACACACACACACACACACACACACACACACACACACACACACACACACACACACACACACACACACACACACACACACACACACACACACACACACACACACACACACACACACACACACACACACACACACAACACACACACACACACACACACACACACACACACACACAACACACACACACACACACACACACACACACACACACACACACACACACACACACACACACACACACACAGATCAGAATAACATAGTAATAATCTGTATTTGTAAAGCACCTTTCATACAACAAGTGCAGTTCAAGGTGCTTCATAGACATTTCACAGAAAATTGATATCACACAGAATACAGTTACCACTAAAAGACATAAAAACAAACTAAAAATAGCATAGAGTAGACATATATAAAATACATTTAGATTAAACTATGAAATTGTGCATTAAAATGAGGATAGTGCAAATTCAACACACAATCAGGTGACAGGTTAAAATGCATCGCAATGCATTGAGAAAGTGCAGCAGAGAGCAGGAGTTTGCTTCATGTTGGGAACATCCTGAATGTACTCTTCCAACATGAGAGTAGCATGATAACTAAGGTATCCCAACTGTAGCTGTGAACATGACAGGATGTATGATTACCTAGAAGAGCATCAGGACTGTTTGAGGCATATGATAGCTATGTGATTAACATGATGATTCAGCCTCTATGGAGATAGACATATGACAAGCATGCTCATTTCTGACGTGGAGCTAATCTGAAGTAAACATTGAATACTGCTTTCTATTCCTCCATCTTGTGACTGTGTAACTCCCTCTCTTGGATATCAGCATGTGAAGGACACTGTTCAGGAACTAGTTGATGCTCTGTATGTGATGACTACTTCCATTCTGGAGAGGATCACAGATACATGGATCCTGAGATTCAAGCTCAAGCTGGGGACCAGGGATTATTAACATCTTTAAGTATTCAGAAAAAGTCAGAATTTTGAGAAAAAGAGTCATGATTTTGAGAAAAAGTCGGGAATTTGGAAAAAATCTGGATTTTTATATTTTTAGAAAAAGACAGAATTTTGAGATTTCGAGAAAAACTCAAATTTTTGAGAAAAGTCCGAATTTTGAGGAAAAGAAAAATCCAAATTTTGGGGGAAAATCCAAATTTTAGGGAAAAATCCAAATTTTAGGGAAAAATCCAAATTTTGAGAAAAATATCAGAATGTTGAGATTTTTGAGAAAAAGTCTAATTCTCTTTTGTTTTGACTACTTCCATTCTGGAGAGGATCACAGACACATGGATCCTGATTATTGAAGCTCAAGCCGGTGAGCAGGGAGATGTTTCTAACATTATGTTTGTCACCTTGTCGTCGGGATCTTTGACCTCCACGAACATCCCGAGGCCCTGCGTGGCCGGAAGATACTCCTCCCGCTGTTTGTCGTACAGCTGAGTGCGGTAGTTACCTGGAAACACAGAGAATACTTTACTGAAGCACAGAGAGAGGTCAGGGGTTCATGGAGGTGGACTATTTTATGAATGGACTAATGTTTAAATGAACGTTTACTATGTGAAGTGTCCTTTATTCGTCCTACAGCGGGGACATTTACTTTATTACAGCAAAGAGACACGCAGGCCAGAACAAGATAAGTAAGTAACATATTAAATGGAGAGGCAAGCATACGTTAATAAAGTAAATCAAATTAGTACAAATCCAGGGAACAGAAATAAGTAGCAGCATACTAAAACTGAAGGGAACATGTCAAATAACGAGGTAGCAGCAGGTGACAACACTAATAGTATGTAAGAATAGAAAAAGTGTATATTGCAAATGGCATCTCTTCAACAGTACTGTCTCAGTGGAGTGGCAGAGCAATATTCCCTTTTTACAGTACACATATATATTATACTGTACAGTGTTTAATTGTACATTCTGCCTTATCTTAGCCAAGTGTATATAAGGGTAAGTGTACTCGGTGTGATCGGTATACAAAGTGAGACAGCTGGGTCATGGTTTGGCCCGTTTGTACATTTTTCAATAATAAATATGCACTTTCTTTCACACAGTTTTATGAGCATATCTATATACAGACAGGTAGATCATAACAAGTGCTTTTAAGAGCTACAAAAATAAATGAGAATCGTGTTTTTTGTTAGATTTTATTGGCCAAGTTGAAACATATGTTACTTAAATAACTTCTACTCTTTCTTTGCCGTCATTTTGCAGACTCCATTTGAAATAAAAAGTACATCCAAGATAATTAAGCAACTTGTTAAAGTACCTTCATTTGAACAGCTGTTGCTTTATTTGCACAAACAGGTGAACTGAGGTTGGTCACTTATAACCTTGTTCTTCACCAGAAGAGTTGACATTAGGTTTCTGAAACACATTTTTGTGACATGAAGCTATATATAGTTTTACATTTTCAATATACTAATAGTGTTAGGGTTAACTACGCAGTCAATGAATCCATTTTACTTACAATTATTTGTCAGAATTCTCATTTTTAAAGTATTTTTTGAAAGCACCAATAGTCTAACCTGCAATACTGAGTTATTTAATACAAATGATCTTAATGTTTGATTCTCTTAACATCTCCCAGCCCTTGTTGACTTTGTGAAACATGACTCCAACATATTGAACACTTGTTCTAAAAACTAGTTTCATTAGTTTTTGAAAAGGTGGTTGAATATAAAATGTCCTTACATGATGCTTAGGGTGTGTCCAGAGAAGTACAAATTGAACATTTAGCTACATAAACAAAGATTTAGCTACTGAAATGTGACTTAAAATGCTGCTTTAATTAAGATTAAACTCGGGAGGTAAGATGCAAGTATAAAAGTAGTTTGTAATGTCTGAGTAACTCCTGTGAGTGAGTGTGTGTGTCTACATACTGAGCTGTAAATCAACACATCAGCACTACAGGTCCGTGTGTGTGAACTCAGTTAGCCGATTAGCTAATATTAGCTCAAGTTGGTGAGCTAGTTAGCATTAGCACATTAGCCGGTTGACTTCCTCTCCTCACTCACCGATAATCATCGTCTCGTCCGGGATCTCCTCGATGAAGCATTTCTTCTCGGTCTCTCCGATGTGGAAGTACAAAGAGGAGACGACGCTGTAGAAAACGTTCAGGAGTAAAACCGACAACACACACGACCGCATCCTGACAGACACCATCACAGCAGAGAGAGAGAGAGAGACTGCGCATGCGCGGACACAGCAGTGCCACGTAAACCCTCGTTTAAGTCTGGCCAATCAGCGCGCCGTATGGGCCTGCTGGGTGTTGTAGTTTGTTGAGCGTTGGGACATATGAGAACAGAAAAACTAATACACACAGAAGGAACAGGAGATGGATTGCACGCTGAACACTTTCAAATTAAAGTGGGACTTGTCAGAGGAAGTGAAATAAAACAATATAGCAACCAAAACATAGAAAGAAACACACACTTGTTGAAAACAGAGGAATTGAAAGTACATTATGTTGTTGCATCAGAATACAATACCAAGCAAAGTGGTCATTGGTCAACATGTTATGTCTTCAGCTATTCTAAAATATATTTTTGATTTACATTATATATGTTAAATCATCATGTTGATTGTGTTACTGTACACACAGTAGCATTGAAGAGCTACTTAATGCAAGATGCAAGTATGAAGAATAGTATAAGTGATTGAACATAGATATAAGGTAAAATCAAAAAATGACTGAGCCAAAACATGTTACTGTGCGTCTGTCCGTCTGTCCATCTGTCTATCTATCTATCTATCTATCTATCTATCTGTCCGTCTGTCCATCTGTCTATCTATCTATCTATCTATCTATCTATCTATCTATCTATCTACCTATCTATCTATCTATCTATCTATCTATCTATCTATCTATCTGTGCGTCTGTCCATCTGTCTGTCTATTTATCTATCGATATATCTGTCTACCTATCTATATATATCTAGTAGTCCCACATGCAGCCTGTAAGGGGCAGTAATGCAAAACTGCTGCGGGTTGAACCTAACCCCGAAGAAGGGGCTCTTCCGCCCAAGCTGTTTCCATGGCAATCGAACATGGCGCCGGGTGAGTCAAACACTCTTTCTGCCGAAACACATTTGTACATGAAATACAAATAATAATAAGTATATTGAAATAACGTTATTTCCTACTTTAACGGTTTGTTGTCAAGTTTACCTTGCGACAGAAAAAGGAAAGAAAAACTCCGCTTGTTTTTGTCAGCTGTTACAAGTTAGCATGTTAGCTTGTGATTTAATCAGACTTCTTTATAATATAGTATATATAACTTATACACAGAGGTGGAAGAAGTACTCAGATCTTGTACTTGAGTAAAAGTAGAAGTACTCAGATCTTGTACTTGAGTAAAAGTAGAAGTACCAGAGTGTAGGAATACTCTGTTACAGTAAAAGTCCTGCATTCAAAATGTTCCTCAAGTGAAAGTATAAAAGTATTCTCATCAAAATATAGTGAAAGTAGCGACAGTAAAAGTAGTCATTGTGCAGATTGGTCCATTTCAGAATAATATATATGATATGTTTTATAATGATTGATCATGAAAGTGTTCTCAAAGCTGGTAAAGGTGCAGCTAGTTTGAATGACTTTGTATACTGCAGGGTAGCTTGTGAATTTACTCCAGGTGGAACTAAAGTCTGATTTAACACTTGATTATATTTCACATCATTCATCCACATCTGTGAAGTAACTAAAAGTGTTAAATACATGTAGTGGAGGAAAAGTACACCATGTACCTCTGAACTGTAGAGGAGTAGAAGTACACAGTAGCATAAAATTGAAATACTGAAGTAGAGTACAAGTACCTCAAAGTAGTATCTAAGAATACACACTATACAATATACAGAATACATTTGAATACTCTCCTATACCAATCTACTAAAGGGACAGATACATATATATACATAGTACTACATAGATAAAAAATGTGATGCATTTGAATACATCTTTAGATCAGAATGACAATACTTCATATATCCCAGGGAGTATGGGTTTTCTTGAGCATTGTACAACTTATAACCTCTATTAATAATATCATTGTATCTTTTTCTCTGCAGGGAGCCAACCAATTGTATCCTTCACAAGAAATTGATGCACGCACATCCGTTTAATTGTGTGTGTTTACTACGCTCCCCTGTGCTCCTTGACTCCTTCTCCCTCAGCTGTCGTCCACTCCTCTGCAGGTCCTCCTCTACCTGAACGTCTGGTACTTCGCTGCCTTCTACCTGGCAGAGATCCTGATGTTCATCTATAAAGGTCTGTGAGAACATTTCACACCTCCACACGTCTGAAAAACCATTACTGTCTGTGAGATGAGAAAGACCTTGTGAAGACACTGGATTACTTTGAGATGTTTTATTGTAGAGCAGCACCATCTGCTGGGGAAACCTTCACTTCATCGTTATTGTGTATATGGTACCACTGCACCGATAAATAACTAAATGAAGCTTCAAGTATTAGGAACATTTCAGTTTTTATTCATTAAAGTGAATCAACAATGGGTCAGGAAACCAAAGTGCATACATTGTGCAAAGTTTAGACACAGTAAAGTGCATATAATACAAAAAAGGTCCCAGAGATTCAGGATTTGGTCACATTTTATTCCGTTAAAGGTCCCCTATTATCCTCGTCTTCATCAATATATTACAGGTCTCAGATATATCCAGAACCTGTCTCTGATTGGCTGAAACACCAAACATATGTCTTGTTCCTGTGTGTAGGGATTCTTCTGCCCTACCCGTCTGATAACCTGCTTCTGGACGTGGTGCTGCTGCTGCTCTTCCTCGGCCTGGAGACTCTCAGGATCTTTTACGGTGAAAAATAATAATAATCTAACTGTACCTGAACTACCTTTAAATAAGGATGCATATTATTATTACATTTCCACAGATCTGCTCTTTGCTGCCACCATGTGGGCAAACGCAATATTACATTCACAAAACTCCAGATAGAGAGTGCTGAAATGTGCTGCATGGCTCAATCAAACATTTGTTATATCGTCCAACAAAGTGTGGCAGGATGTTGTATCTCGTGGACCCTTTAGGCATCTCCCTGGTTCCCTCCGTGAAAAGCCAATCAGATCTTTCCATTGGATTTTGGAATATTGTGGAAAATAATCTCTTTGGCAAACACACGTTTATTTTTTATACTTACATTTCGCAGGATAATCTCCACATATTAGCACCCTGTGATTTCTGAAGTAAAAAGCCAGAAATGGGCTTTAGAGGAACTACAGCACGGTCACATGACTTCAGGTCACCACCGCTAAGCTAAAGGTGGCTAATGTTGTTGTCTCTCTACTGACCCTCTCTCTCTCTCTACTGACCCTCTCTCTCTCTCTCTACTGACCCTCTCTCTCTCTCTCTCTCTTCTCCTGACCCTCTCTCTCTCTCTCTACTGACCCTCTCTCTCTCTCTACTGACCCTCTCTCTCTCTCTCTACTGACCCTCTCTCTCTCTCTCTCTCTCTCCTGACCCTCTCTCTCTCTCTCTCTACTGACCCTCTCTCTCTCTCTCCTCTCTCTCTCTCTCTCTCCTGACCCTCTCTCTCTCTCTCTCTCCTCTACTGACCCCTCTCTCTCATCATCCTACTTGACCCTTCTACTTCTCTCTTCTCCTGACCCTCTCTCTCTCTCCTCTATGACTCCTCTCGCTCATACTCTCTCTCTCCTGACCCTCTCTCTCTCTCTCTCTCTACTGACCCTCTCTCTCTCTCTCTCTACTGACCCTCTCTCTATCTCTACTGACCATCTCTCTCTCTCCTCTCTCTATATTGACTATCTCTCTCTCTCCTCTTACTGACCCTCTCTCTCTCTCTCTCTCTCTCTCTCTCTCTCCTGACCCTCTCTCTCTACTGACTCTCTCTCTCTCTACTGACCCTCTCTCTCTCTCTCTCTCCTGACCCTCTCTCTCTCTCTCTCTCTCTCTCTCTCTCTCCTGACCCTCTCTCTCTCTCTCTCTCTCTACTGACCCTCTCTCTCTCTCTCTCTCTCTACTGACCCTCTCTCTCTCTCCCTCTCTCTCTACTGACTCTCTCTCTCTCTCCCTCTCTACTGACCCTCTCTCTCTCTCCCTCTCTCTCAGTACTGACCTCAGGGTGCATTGTGTGTGTTCAGGGTGGAAGGGGAACCTGTGTGAGCGCTCTCTGGCCTCGTGTGCGTCGCTCTTCATCCTGTTCCCCTGCACGGCGCTGGCTGTTTACTTCCTGCTGCTCCAGACCTTCGTCCTGCGGCTGGAGTTCATCCTCAGCGCCGTGCTGCTACTCTTCTACGCCCTGGAGTTCCTGCTGGGACTCCTCTCCTTATCCTCCTTCTCCAGGTGAACTAATCATGTCGGGTTGGGAGGGGGGTCTCAGTGTATAAAAAAGTATTTCAAATAACCTCAGGCCCTTCCTTCCTGCAGTGGTCAGACTATATAACAGGGCTGTCCAAACTACGGCCCTCATCAGGGTGTGTTTTGTAACTTGTATTTAAAAAAATAAATGTGTTATGCTACTGAGGTGACATGAAGCTGTCTTTGGCTCTTTTCTGCTGTAACAATGTACATGTGGGACTAATAAAGGTATTCTGATGTCGGGTGGGAGGGGGGTCTCAGTATATAAAAAAGTATTTGATTATGCTTCTGGAAATATTTACAAGTTTCATAAGTCCCATTTTGTTGTTGTTGTTTCCCTTGTAGGTCCAAAGTGTACTGAAGAGGAACGTCACCTGAAACACAGAGCGGACACTTCATGTTCAAATGGACAGAGCTTTCTTCAGACGTTGTAAATAAAACTTTGTGTATTTTCATATTAAAATGTAAATCTTTGTTTTTCTACTACCTGAGATCAAGACTTTTGTTTGTTTTACAAGTTATAATGAAGTAATGAAAATAACACCGAAATGTTTGAAATAAAACTTTTTTTTAAAAGTCACCTATTCTGCAAAATCTACTTTTTCATATCTCTTCTACATCAACATGTGTCCCCTCTTCTTCATGTCTCTTCTACATCAACATGTGTCCCCTCTTCTTCATGTCTCTTCTTCATCAACATGTGTCCCCTCTTCTTCATGTCTCTTCTTCATCCAACATGTGTCCCCTTCTTCTTCATGTCTCTTCTACATCACATGTGGTCCCCTCTTCTTCATGTCTCTTCTACATCAACATGTGTCCCCTCTTCTTCATGTCTCTTCTACATCAACATGTGTCCCCTCTTCTTCATGTCTTCTTCTACATCAACATGTGTCCCCTCTTCTTCATGTCTCTTCTACATCAACATGTGTCCCCTCTTCTTCATGCTCTTCTACATCAACATGTGTCCCCTACTTCTTCATGTCTCTTCTTCATCAAACATGTGTCCCCCCTTCTTCATGGTCTCTTATCTTCCTCACACATGTGTCCCCTCTTCTTCATGTCTCTTCTTCTCAAACATGTGTCCCCTCTTCTTCATGTCTCTTCTTACATCAACATGTGTCCCTCTTCTTCATGTCTCTTCTTCATCAACATGGTCCCTCTTCTTCATGTCTCTTCTTCATCAACATGTGTCCCCACTTCTTCATGTCTCTTCTTCAATCAACATGTGTCCCCTCTTCTTCAGGTCTCTTCTTCATCAACATGTGTCCCCTTCTTCATGTCTCTTCTACATCAACATGTGTCCCCTCTTCTTCATGTCTCTTCTTCATCAACATGTGTCCCCTACTTCTTCATGTCTCTTCTTCATCAACATGTGTCCCCTCTTCTTCAGTCTCTTCTTCATCAACATGTGTCCCCTCTTCTTCACTGTCTCTTCTTACATCAACATGTGTCCCCTCTTCTTCATGTCTCTTCTATCATCAACATGTGTCCCCTCTTCTTCATGTCTCTTCTTCATCAACATGTGTCCCCTCTTCTTCATGTCTCTTCTACATCAACATGTGTCCCCTCTTCTTCATGTCTCTTCTTCATCAACATTGTGTCCCCCTCTTCTTCATGTCTCTTCTTCATTAACATGTGTCCCCTCTTCTTCATGTCTCTTCTCATCAACATGTGTCCCCACTTTCTTCATGTCTCTTCTACATCAACATGTGTCCCCTCTTCTTCATGTCTCTTCTTACATCAAATGTGTCCCCTCTTCTTCATGTCTCTTCTTCATCAACATGTGTCCCCACTTCTTCATGTCTCTTCTTCATCAAACATGTGTCCCCTCTTCTTCATGTCTCTTCTTCATCAACATGTGTCCCCTCTTCTTCATGTCTCTTCTTCATCAACATGTGTCCCCTCTTCTTCATGTCTCTTCTTCATCAACATGTGTCCCCACTTCTTCATGTCTCTTCTTCATCAACATGTGTCCCCTCTTCTTCATGTCTCTTCTACATCAACATGTGTCCCCTCTTCTTCATGTCTCTTCTACATCAACATGTCATAACGATGTTTTGGCTTGTGTAACCATTAGCCAATCAGCAACCAAGGTAACCCCCCCCCCCCCCCTTATCACCTGAATCTCCTCCTAGAGCACCATTGAGTTCTTTGTAACCAAATCTCTCTCAGAGGGGCGTGGGGAGGGGCTCCTTATTTTCATCTAAAGTAACAGACAGAGAATCAGCACTTTGGAAACAGGGCTGAAACAGAGGGGATTATGGGTAATGCTGCAATGATCTGTTTGGTGTTTCAGCCAATCAGAGACAGGCTCTGGATATATCTGAGACCTGTGATATATTGATGAGAAACAGTATGATAGGCAGGGTTCTTACACCTTTTCCAAAGTCAAATTCAAGCACTTTTCAAGCATTTTCAAGCTGCATTTTTAAGCTTTTCAAGCATCTTACAGCTGTTGTAAATTACATATTTATATACACATACTTATACTCAAATGATTATTTCCCTACCTCACATTAAATCTGATGTTCTTTATGCTATAAACAACCAAATGTGTTTCATAATAGCATTCTACATGAGGATGAACAATTAAAAATGTTAGAAAAGAAAACTAAGTTTAATATTTCAAAATGAGACCCATCTGTACGTAGACTGGGCATCCCATATAACCTGGCTGAGCCAATATAAAACAATCAGCCAAATAACTTTTCAATACATTATCGATTACTATTTTTGAGGTACTTTTAGGTTGGCAGTAAACACAAGTCAGAGGTAAATGGTTTACTTTGACTCCACTACATGTATTTAATACCTTTAGTTACTTCACAGATGTGGATGAATGATGTGAAATATAACCAAGTGTTAAATCAGACTTTAGTTCCACCTGGAGTAAATCCACAAGCTACCCTGCAGTATACAAAGTCATTCAAACTAGCTGCACCTTTACCAGCTTTGAGAACACTTTCATGATCAATCATTATAAAACATATCATATACAATTATTAGGGATGCTCCGATCGCCAATTTTGGGGCCGATCGCCGGAATCAGCTTGTTCCAGAGGTAGATAAAATAGCTAAGTGTGTTAGGTCTAACTCTTAATGTGTGTTCCGCTCACCGGTCCGTCACAGCGGGTGGAGCTGCAGGATTTCTGCTTCACACACACGTTGCATACCGCTATTTTATTGTCACTTTCGGACACTTAAAATACTGCCAGACTAGTGAAGCCATTTTGGCGAGGTTGTTTTGCCGCACAGAGAAAAGTGTCATGTATTTTACATGCAACGATAGCCTAATCTAAAATGCTCTACTATGGCGTACCTTTCGTGTAGTGTGTGGCTCGTCAGCGCAGACTCTCGCATCGTTATTGTTGCACACTTTGCAGGAGGCTATTCGTGGGCTTGACCCTCGTCTTAGCCATGGCTTGTATTTGTCTTCTGCTAGCCAACGCTCGTTGAAACGGCAACCTCCTGGCATACTGTCATCTATCACTCTCATCAGAATGCCCAGGTCACACACGTAACAAAAACACTTACGCATTGCGCGGGAAGGCCGGAGCGGAGCTGTTTTATGTAAAAGCGAAGCAATTAAGCGCGCTCCGACTTCTTTATTTTCTTTTAATCTAAAAAGCGAAGTAAAGCATTTACAATTTCAAGCACTTTATCCCAAATTCAAGCACCATTCCCAAAATTCAAGCACTTTTCAAACCTTGAAAACACCTCGTACAATTTCAAGCATTTTCAAGGATTTCCAGCACCCGTACGCACCCTGGATAGGGGACCTTTAATGTGTGATGTTGGTGATGGTATTGTGGATCATTGAGGTCTCACCAGGACTTGGTGTGCCAGATGATGATGAAAACCACGTAGAGCGAGCGGGCGACCGGCCACCAGAAGATCCACATGTTGGTGTTTTGTGTCACCTCAAGGAAATCTCTTTCTCTCAACTGTGAAGCAAACAGACACAGAGATTCAACAACATTAAATAGACTTTCTTTGCTAAGGAAGGATACTAACTGAACTGAAAACTAGAAAAGAAAGTTGAGATGGGGACGTCCTGGGAGAGCTGGTTTCCTTAAACCGACTCAAAGCGACTCTCAATGACCTTGAAGCGACTCTCAATGACCTTGAAGCAACTCTCAATGACTTTGAAGCGACTCTCAATGACCTTGAAGCGACTCTCAATGACCTTGAAGCGACTCTCAATGACCTTGAAGCCGCTGTGGCTGTAAATGCTTCGGGCTAACTTGTTGTATGACTGTGTTGTGATTGTGTGTTTTAAACTTGCTGTTACCGTTCTTGGGCCAGGACTCTCTTGAAAAAGATATTTGTAATCTCAATGAGACCTATCCTGGTTAATAAAGGTAAACAAATAAACAACAACAAAAACAAGAAGGTGTCGTACTGCACCAGAATAAATCTTCTGGTCACACATGCTATAATTAAACAGATTCCCCTTTAAGCAACAGCGTTACTCATTACATCTCAGTAACGGCAAGATGCGAGTAGTTTAATTAATTACTATTATAAATTGTTTTGGTTTATTATATAAATGCAGATTTACGTGCTAAAAAAATAAACTTTATTGACAGATGTTTCTAATATTGTGTCCACCCGACATTTCAGTGAGGAAAGAAAGCCCCCAGGAAGTGCGCCGGACTCTGTGCCCAATATCCGTAGTGTCCAAACGGCGGTACTGCAACTTCCGTATCAGTCCGTGACGTCACCCGGCCCAAAAATACTTTTTCCCATTGACTAACATCGGGAAAGAGACGTCTGTTAATCAGCGGATACTTTTTAAAAAACTAAATAAAGTACCCAGTATGAACTATGTTATAGCCCTTATTAGAATCATTCGGTCCTTAAAGTTGTAAAATGCACTAAAAGCCGAATCCAGATGTATTTTCTCTCTCCATTAATTCTAATGAGCCGAGAGTGGGAGCTCGGGGGGCGGGGCTTACTGACAGGGGGCGGGGCTTAAGGGGAAACTCAACATGCTCTATGAGCTACATACAGGGTACTTCTGCTCTGAGTGCCAGGCATGCTGGGTAATCTGTGACGTGCCGCTCTCTCAAAAGTTGGGCCATTTTGTCCTCATGAGCCAATGAGCAGCTCTCATAGGAAAGAACGAGACCCCGCCTCCAACGCGATATCCAGTTCTTATTATACATCCATGGAGGAAAGGCCTCAACATAAGGTGTCAATTACTGACACACACACACACCCACACACACACACACACCCACACACACACACACACACACCACACACACACACACACACACACACACACACACACACACACACACACACACACCCACCTTCTGGGAGTTCTGCTCCTGCTGGATCTGTAGAACCTGCTCCATCAGCTGTTGGACTCTCAGCTGAATATCCGTCAGTTTTTCTCTCGCAGCGATCTCAGCGGAGTTGTTTGTTCTTCCGGCCGCTCTGAGGTCCAGGTGAACCGCCTGCAGGAGGGACATTTGTCTTAGATGAACTTGAAAAATAAAATGTATTATTATTTATTCAAATGACCTCCAACACCTCAGCTTTTATACACAAGTTAGGTGTAACAGTTTAAAGATAATTTGGTATTGTTGGTATCAAAGTGTTGGAAAATCCTGAATGTCCTCTTCCAACATGAGAGCAACATGATAACAAAGGTATCCCAACTGTAGCTGTGTACATGACAGGATGTCTGATTACCTAGAAGAGCATCAGGACTGTTTGAGGCATATGATAGCTATGTGATTAACATGATGATTCAGCCTCTATGGAGATAGACATATGACAAGCATGATCATTTCTGACGTGGAGCTAATCTGAAGTAAACATTGAATACTGCTTTCTATTCCTCCATCTTGTGACTGTGTAACTCCCTCTCTTGGATATCAGCATGTGAAGGACACTGTTCAGGAACTAGTTGATGCTCTGTATGTGATGACTACTTCCATTCTGGAGAGGATCAGAGATACATGGATCCTGAGATTAAAGCTCAAGCCGGGGACCAGGGATTATTAAAAATATAATAGTAAGAATGGAGAAAGCAGCTCGAGTGCGTTAGAGTACGCAGCCGAAAAAAATCTGCCCCTTCCTTCAGACTTCCTTACAGAGCCCCTCCTCCAACACACACGAACGCGCACATGACCAATGAGGGCACGAGATAAGTTTGAATTTTTAGAAAAAAAGTCAGAATTTTGAGAAAAAGCTAACGTCATATAAACACACTACATAACAGTTGCATCTCCACTCCTTAACTCAAGGCGTGGTGACATTTAGTCGTTTAATTTATCCACTTGTTAGCAACTGCCTTTTTTATCACACGCTTCAGACATTCACCAGCGGGGTATTTACTGATATATTTTATGTTGTTGAACAAAACGTGAAAATCTCTTTTTTCAACTCTTCAGCTTGTGTTAACAACAGACCTTATTTCAGCACAAACAAGTTCAAAAAAAACATTCACTTGGAGACGAGGGGACCAGAGGAGGCAAAAGTATTTTCCGGGTTTTAGGACTCATAGAGCGGTGCAGTGATGACGTATTTGTGTAGGCCGACCCTGAAGTAAGCTGCTGTCCCTCGACAAAAAGCAACGGGATTTCTCCACAGGATTTAGGAATATTGTAAAAAATAATGTCTGTGGAAAACGAACCTGTTTGATAAATGCACGTTTTGTTCAGCCGGATAATCTCCACATGTCTACTTTTATAATGTTCTAATCATAAATCTAATCTCCAGAAGCTAAATGCTAACGTTATGCTATAAAGGAACTACAGCCGAGTCCAGCAGCACGACTTCAACGTCACGCCAACTTCAGATCCATATTCAAACATACAGATTCTAAATGGAACAAGTTGAAGCGTTTGTTTGAACAGTTAGCAGGAGGCAGGGACTTGCTTTCAAGCAGAACAGGGCAAACTAACTTAGAGGAGTGTTAACGTGTTCGGCGTAATGACGTACAACGTCCTCCACAACTTCTGTAGTCCTATTCAGCCACTTGGTAACAACCATCGTTTTTCAGACACGTCAACTCTTCAGAAATCACCAGTGGGGTCACTGCTGATGGATTTAATGTCCTAGAACAAAACGTGATCCGTCTCTTCAATGTGTCTCGACCACAGACCTTAGTTCCAGCTATTTTCCTAAATCCTATGGAGAGATCCCATTGGCTCTGAGACGAGGGAACAGGAAGTGGAGAGATCCCATCGACTCTGAGACGAGGGAACAGGAAGTGGTGAAATGCTGACTCACTTCTGGGTTTTAGGACTCATTCCTGCACCACTCTATAACAGTGTGTATTCTCACCAGCAGGACTCCAGCAGGCAGGGGGTGCTGTGAACAGTTTGCTTGGAGACAGATCTGGTATCCTCCAGGTTCCTTAGATCTGAATCTGAAGCTTCCCTCCGAGCCGTGAGACCGAGACAGAACCAGCTGCAGGAAACACAGGAAGAAATCAAACAGACTGTTCAACACATACAGTTTGGTAACATGTAATAAAAATATGATTAAAAAAATGGTAGAATATCCAATATCATTTAACAAAGATCTTCTACTCAAATGTTAACCAACCGGGATTGTTTTTTATCGCACGAGAAAGAGGAGAAATCTAATTAGCTAAACTAAACATATATATAAAAAGTAAACCCTTTAAGAAAAAAAACAAAAACTCATACAACTGGGATGAGTTACACACTTTAAAACTCAATACAAATTAAATAAGAAACGTATAGAAACATTTCAAACTATTATTATAGTAAAGGTTTGTTCACATTGGTGTTTTCCAGTCATTCGTATTACAGTCAATGTTAGGGAATCATTTGCCCTCGTGTCCTCCTTCACCCTCTGACACAGATGCTCCAGCCTTGAGCAGCCGTTATCTCCCTTAAAGTGGACCTATCATGCTATATTTGAATAATATAGTGTAGGACCATACCTATATAAGGCATATTTATACTTTTTTTTTTTCAAAATACCAAACAGATCATGCATTTTAGCCATGCCTCATTTTGCTCAATTTGACCATTTCTAGCTCTGTTTTAGCAAGGGCAGATTCAGTGAGAACAGCACCACCTACAGGCCTGGCATATGTACTACAGCGTCTCCAGCGCTTTCGAATGGCAATGGCCGTGGCTGTCTCCTCCTGATTGGTGGAGTTGGCCCAATAGCCGTAGCGCCACCGTCCTGACGTCAGGACAGTGTTCAAATCTGGATCAGTTTTGATCAGATCCGTTGCAGCCCCTTTTTTAGAGATTTGGGTATGGAGGAAAATAGAGAGGGTTGTGTTTTCTGACACTTGGTGAGTTCCCTGGAACACCGGGGACACATATTCATGTAGAAAAGACGTACAAAAGTGCATTTTGCATGATAGGTCTCCCTTAAGGAGGGGCTGCCCTAGCAAGTTGTTGTTGGGCAACTCTCGGTCAGAGATAGTCATTGTTGTGGGACACCTGGAACACATCCTTCTCGGGGCGTAGATGACCCCGAGCCATAACCGACAACTAATGTGATTCAGTGTCCTCAGCTGTTTAGTCTATCTAATGAAGAATGTTGATTACCCTTAGCGAAACTAGTTCAAACCTCATACGAGAGGAAGGGTTCTTCAGAACTGATTGTGGCATCTCAACCGTGCGGTCAGACCCGTGACATGTCTTGTGAATTCTCCGGCCGAAGCTCCAAATAAACCGTCAGTGTTTGCCATCAAAGCTCCAGCTCTCCATCGTGTCTCTCTCTGAGTCCTGACTCCATCAAAGCTCCAGCTCTCCTCGTGTCTCTCTGAGTCCTGACTCCATCAAAGCTCCAGCTCTCCATCGTGTCTCTCTGAGTCCTGACTCCATCAAAGCTCCAGCTCTCCTCGTGTCTCTCTGAGTCCTGACTCCATCAAAGCTCCAGCTCTCCTCGTGTCTCTCTGAGTCCTGACTCCATCAAAGCTCCAGCTCTCCATCGTGTCTCTCTCTGAGTCCTGACTCCATCAAAGCTCCAGCTCTCCTCGTGTCTCTCTGAGTCCTGACTCCATCAAAGCTCCAGCTCTCCTCGTGTCTCTCTGAGTCCTGACTCCATCAAAGCTCCAGCTCTCCTCGTGTCTCTCTGAGTCCTGACTCCATCAAAGCTCCAGCTCTCCATCGTGTCTCTCTGAGTCCTGACTCCATCAAAGCTCCAGCTCTCCTCGTGTCTCTCTGAGTCCTGACTCCATCAAAGCTCCAGCTCTCCATCGTGTCTCTCTGAGTCCTGACTCCATCAAAGCTCCAGCTCTCCATCGTGTCTCTCTGAGTCCTGACTCCATCAAAGCTCCAGCTCTCCATCGTGTCTCTCTGAGTCCTGACTCCATCAAAGCTCCAGCTCTCCATCGTGTCTCTCTGAGTCCTGACTCCATCAAAGCTCCAGCTCTCCATCGTGTCGCTCTCTGAGTCCTGACTCCATCAAAGCTCCAGCTCTCCTCGTGTCTCTCTGAGTCCTGACTCCATCAAAGCTCCAGCTCTCCATCGTGTCTCTCTGAGTCCTGACTCCATCAAAGCTCCAGCTCTCCATCGTGTCTCTCTCCGAGTCCTGACTCCATCAAAGCTCCAGCTCTCCTCGTGTCTCTCTGAGTCCTGACTCCATCAAAGCTCCAGCTCTCCTCGTGTCTCTCCGAGTCCTGACTCCATCAAAGCTCCATCTCTCCTCGTGTCTCTCTGAGTCCTGACTCCATCAAAGCTCCAGCTCTCCTCGTGTCTCTCTGAGTCCTGACTCCATCAAAGCTCCAGCTCTCCTCGTGTCTCTCTGAGTCCTGACTCCATCAAAGCTCCAGCTCTCCACGTGTCTCTCTCTCTGAGTCCTGACTCCATCAAAGCTCCAGCTCTCCTCGTGTCTCTCTGAGTCCTGACTCCATCAAAGCTCCAGCTCTCCTCGTGTCTCTCTCTGAGTCCTGACTCCATCAAAGCTCCAGCTCTCCTCGTGTCTCTGTGAGTCCTGACTCCATCAAAGCTCCAGCTCTCCATCGTGTCTCTCTGAGTCCTGACTCCATCAAAGCTCCAGCTCTCCTCGTGTCTCTCTGAGTCCTGACTCCATCAAAGCTCCAGCTCTCCATCGTGTCTCTCTGAGTCCTGACTCCATCAAAGCTCCAGCTCTCCATCGTGTCTCTCTGAGTCCTGACTCCATCAAAGCTCCAGCTCTCCTCGTGTCTCTCTGAGTCCTGACTCCATCAAAGCTCCAGCTCTCCATCGTGTCTCTCTGAGTCCTGACTCCATCAAAGCTCCAGCTCTCCTCGTGTCTCTCTGAGTCCTGACTCCATCAAAGCTCCAGCTCTCCATCGTGTCTCTCTGAGTCCTGACTCCATCAAAGCTCCAGCTCTCCATCGTGTCTCTCTGAGTCCTGACTCCATCAAAGCTCCAGCTCTCCGGTCTCTCTCTGAGTCCTGACTCCATCAAGCTCCAGCTCTCCTCGTCTCTCTCTGAGTCCTGACTCCATCAAAGCTCCAGCTCTTCTCGTGTCTCTCTGAGTCCTGACTCCATCAAAGCTCCAGCTCTCCATCGTGTCTCTCTGAGTCCTGACTCCATCAAAGCTCCAGCTCTCCTCGTGTCTCTCTGAGTCCTGACTCCATCAAAGCTCCAGCTCTCCATCGTGTCTCTCTGAGTCCTGACTCCATCAAAGCTCCAGCTCTCCATCGTGTCTCTCTCTGAGTCCTGACTCCATCAAAGCTCCAGCTCTCCTCGTCTCTCTCTGAGTCCTGACTCCATCAAAGCTCCAGCTCTCCTCGTGTCTCTCTGAGTCCTGACTCCATCAAAGCTCCAGCTCTCCATCGTGTCTCTCTGAGTCCTGACTCCATCAAAGCTCCAGCTCTCCATCGTGTCTCTCTGAGTCCTGACTCCATCAAAGCTCCAGCTCTCCATCGTGTCTCTCTGAGTCCTGACTCCATCAAAGCTCCAGCTCTCCATCGTGTCTCTCTGAGTCCTGACTCCATCAAAGCTCCAGCTCTCCATCGTGTCTCTCCGAGTCCTGACTCCATCAAAGCTCCAGCTCTCCATCGTGTCTCTCTCCGAGTCCTGACTCCATCAAAGCTCCAGCTCTCCTCGTGTCTCTCTGAGTCCTGACTCCATCAAAGCTCCAGCTCTCCTCGTGTCTCTCTGAGTCCTGACTCCATCAAAGCTCCAGCTCTCCATCGTGTCTCTCTGAGTCCTGACTCCATCAAAGCTCCAGCTCTCCATCGTGTCTCTCTGAGTCCTGACTCCATCAAAACTCCAGCTCTCCATCGTGTCTCTCTGAGTCCTGACTCCATCAAAGCTCCAGCTCTCCATCGTGTCTCTCTGAGTCCTGACTCCATCAAAGCTCCAGCTCTCCATCGTGTCTCTCTGAGTCCTGACTCCATCAAAGCTCCAGCTCTCCATCGTGTCTCTCTCTGAGTCCTGACTCCATCAAAGCTCCAGCTCTCCTCGTGTCTCTCTGAGTCCTGACTCCATCAAAGCTCCAGCTCTCCATCGTGTCTCTCTGAGTCCTGACTCCATCAAAGCTCCAGCTCTCCATCGTGTCTCTCTCCGAGTCCTGACTCCATCAAAGCTCCAGCTCTCCTCGTGTCTCTCTGAGTCCTGACTCCATCAAAGCTCCAGCTCTCCTCGTGTCTCTCTGAGTCCTGACTCCATCAAAGCTCCAGCTCTCCATCGTGTCTCTCTGAGTCCTGACTCCATCAAAGCTCCAGCTCTCCTCGTGTCTCTCTCTGAGTCCTGACTCCATCAAAGCTCCAGCTCTCCTCGTGTCTCTCCGAGTCCTGACTCCATCAAAGCTCCAGCTCTCCATCGTGTCTCTCTGAGTCCTGACTCCATCAAAGCTCCAGCTCTCCTCGTGTCTCTCTGAGTCCTGACTCCATCAAAGCTCCAGCTCTCCATCGTGTCTCTCTGAGTCCTGACTCCATCAGAACTCCAGCTCTCCATCGTGTCTCTCTGAGTCCTGACTCCATCAGAGCTCCAGCTCTCCTCGTGTCTCTCTGAGTCCTGACTCCATCAAAGCTCCAGCTCTCCTCGTGTCTCTCTGAGTCCTGACTCCATCAAAGCTCCAGCTCTCCTCATGTCTCTCTGAGTCCTGACTCCATCAAAGCTCCAGCTCTCCATCGTGTCTCTCTTTGAGTCCTGACTCCATCAAAGCTCCAGCTCTCCTCGTGTCTCTCTGAGTCCTGACTCCATCAAAGCTCCAGCTCTCCTTGTGTCTCTCTGAGTCCTGACTCCATCAAAGCTCCAGCTCTCCTCGTGTCTCTCTGAGTCCTGACTCCATCAAAGCTCCAGCTCTCCTCGTGTCTCTCTCTGAGTCCTGACTCCATCAAAGCTCCAGCTCTCCTCGTGTCTCTCTGAGTCCTGACTCCATCAAAGCTCCATCTCTCCTCGTGTCTCTCTGAGTCCTGACTCCATCAAAGCTCCAGCTCTCCTCGTGTCTCTCTGAGTCCTGACTCCATCAAAGCTCCAGCTCTCCTCGTGTCTCTCTGAGTCCTGACTCCATCAAAGCTCCAGCTCTCCACGTGTCTCTCTCTCTGAGTCCTGACTCCATCAAAGCTCCAGCTCTCCTCGTGTCTCTCTGAGTCCTGACTCCATCAAAGCTCCAGCTCTCCTCGTGTCTCTCTCTGAGTCCTGACTCCATCAAAGCTCCAGCTCTCCTCGTGTCTCTGTGAGTCCTGACTCCATCAAAGCTCCAGCTCTCCATCGTGTCTCTCTGAGTCCTGACTCCATCAAAGCTCCAGCTCTCCTCGTGTCTCTCTGAGTCCTGACTCCATCAAAGCTCCAGCTCTCCATCGTGTCTCTCTGAGTCCTGACTCCATCAAAGCTCCAGCTCTCCATCGTGTCTCTCTGAGTCCTGACTCCATCAAAGCTCCAGCTCTCCTCGTGTCTCTCTGAGTCCTGACTCCATCAAAGCTCCAGCTCTCCATCGTGTCTCTCTGAGTCCTGACTCCATCAAAGCTCCAGCTCTCCTCGTGTCTCTCTGAGTCCTGACTCCATCAAAGCTCCAGCTCTCCATCGTGTCTCTCTGAGTCCTGACTCCATCAAAGCTCCAGCTCTCCATCGTGTCTCTCTCTGAGTCCTGACTCCATCAAAGCTCCAGCTCTCCTCGTCTCTCTCTGAGTCCTGACTCCATCAAAGCTCCAGCTCTCCTCGTGTCTCTCTGAGTCCTGACTCCATCAAAGCTCCAGCTCTCCATCGTGTCTCTCTGAGTCCTGACTCCATCAAAGCTCCAGCTCTCCTCGTGTCTCTCTGAGTCCTGACTCCATCAAAGCTCCAGCTCTCCATCGTGTCTCTCTGAGTCCTGACTCCATCAAAGCTCCAGCTCTCCATCGTGTCTCTCTCTGAGTCCTGACTCCATCAAAGCTCCAGCTCTCCTCGTCTCTCTCTGAGTCCTGACTCCATCAAGCTCCAGTTCTCCTCGTGTCTCTCTGAGTCCTGACTCCATCAAAGCTCCAGCTCTCCATCGTGTCTCTCTGAGTCCTGACTCCATCAAAGCTCCAGCTCTCCATCGTGTCTCTCTGAGTCCTGACTCCATCAAAGCTCCAGCTCTCCATCGTGTCTCTCTGAGTCCTGACTCCATCAAAGCTCCAGCTCTCCATCGTGTCTCTCCGAGTCCTGACTCCATCAAAGCTCCAGCTCTCCATCGTGTCTCTCTCTGAGTCCTGACTCCATCAAAGCTCCAGCTCTCCTCGTGTCTCTCTGAGTCCTGACTCCATCAAAGCTCCAGCTCTCCATCGTGTCTCTCTGAGTCCTGACTCCATCAAAGCTCCAGCTCTCCTCGTCTTTCTCTGAGTCCTGACTCCATCAAAGCTCCAGCTCTCCATCGTGTCTCTCTCCGAGTCCTGACTCCATCAAAGCTCCAGCTCTCCTCGTGTCTCTCTGAGTCCTGACTCCATCAAAGCTCCAGCTCTCCTCGTGTCTCTCTGAGTCCTGACTCCATCAAAGCTCCAGCTCTCCATCGTGTCTCTCGGAGTCCTGACTCCATCAAAGCTCCAGCTCTCCTCGTGTCTCTCTCTGAGTCCTGACTCCATCAAAGCTCCAGCTCTCCTCGTGTCTCTCTGAGTCCTGACTCCATCAAAGCTCCAGCTCTCCATCGTGTCTCTCTGAGTCCTGACTCCATCAGAGCTCCAGCTCTCCATCGTGTCTCTCTGAGTCCTGACTCCATCAAAGCTCCAGCTCTCCTCGTGTCTCTCTGAGTCCTGACTCCATCAAAGCTCCAGCTCTCCATCGTGTCTCTCTGAGTCCTGACTCCATCAAAGCTCCAGCTCTCCTCGTGTCTCTCTGAGTCCTGACTCCATCAAAGCTCCAGCTCTCCTTGTGTCTCTCTGAGTCCTGACTCCATCAAAGCTCCAGCTCTCCTCGTGTCTCTCTGAGTCCTGACTCCATCAAAGCTCCAGCTCTCCTCGTGTCTCTCTGAGTCCTGACTCCATCAAAGCTCCAGCTCTCCTCGTGTCTCTCTGAGTCCTGACTCCATCAAAGCTCCAGCTCTCCTCGTGTCTCTCTGAGTCCTGACTCCATCAAAGCTCCAGCTCTCCTCGTGTCTCTCTGAGTCCCTGACTCCATCAAAGCTCCAGCTCTCCATCGTGTCTCTCTTGAGTCCTGACTCCATCCAAAGCTCCAGCTCTCCTTGTGTCTCTCTGAGTCCTGACTCCATCAAAGCTCCAGCTCTCCTCGTGTCTCTCTGAGTCCTGACTCCATCAAAGCTCCAGCTCTCCTCGTGTCTCTCTCTGAGTCCTGACTCCATCAAAGCTCCAGCTCTCCTCGTGTCTCTCTGAGTCCTGACTCCATCAAAGCTCCAGCTCTCCTCGTTCTCTCCTCTGAGTCCTGACTCCATCAAAGCTCCAGCTTCCACGTGTCTCTCTCTCTGAGTCCTGACTCCATCAAAGCTCCAGCTCTCCTCGTGTCTCTCTGAGTCCTGACTCCATCAAAGCTCCAGCTCTCCTCGTGTCTCTCTCTGAGTCCTGACTCCATCAAAGCTCCAGCTCTCCTCGTGTCTCTCTCTGAGTCCTGACTCCATCAAAGCTCCAGCTCTCCTCGTGTCTCTGTGAGTCCTGACTCCATCAAAGCTCCAGCTCTCCATCGTGTCTCTCTGAGTCCTGACTCCATCAAAGCTCCAGCTCTCCTCGTGTCTCTCTGAGTCCTGACTCCATCAAAGCTCCAGCTCTCCATCGTGTCTCTCTGAGTCCTGACTCCATCAAAGCTCCAGCTCTCCATCGTGTCTCTCTGAGTCCTGGCTCCATCAAAGCTCCAGCTCTCCTCGTGTCTCTCTGAGTCCTGACTCCATCAAAGCTCCAGCTCTCCTCGTGTCTCTCTGTGAGTCCTGACTCCTATTGCTGCAGAAGTTTCCCCCACAGTCAACACTGACACCAATAAACAACTAAATCACATTTATGTTATTCCATCTCGGTTGGTAAACACAGGGATGCAAACTCATCAGGTATGAAAAAGGTGACAAGGATCCGAGCCCCCCGACCCCCCCACGGAATATCGGCTTTAAAATGAGGAATAACAGGATGTGAGCAGTCAGAACAACTAAAGCAGCAGTGGTAATAATAACAGAAGAGTCACATCTAATATAAATATATAAAAGCATTTATTTTAATTGTGTACTGTTGAGCATTTTGAAAAAGTGTTTTCATGCCTCTGTGCAAGGCTTAGTCTTTCTATCTTTATAGCCAGTGGTGTAAAGTAACTAAGTTCATAAACTCAAGTACTACTTGGGTACAACTTTGAGATACTTGTACTTTACTTAAAGGTGGGGTATTTAATTTATTTCAGAAACACTTGTTATATTCCATGGAATGCTCTTAACATCCCGATAGCAATGAATATCTGAAATGCTTTGACAAAAAATCCATAAATAAATATCATCTGTGGAAGCCGTAGTACTGTAAAAAGCACGACCAATCATCTGAGCCGGCCCGGCTAAAATAACTGGATGGCCTACCTGCCTGTCAGCCTTCCATCTGTGCACAAACTTATCTCGTGCCCTCATTGGTCATGTGTGCGTTCGTGTGTGTTGGAGGAGGGGCTCTGTGAGGAAGTGGCAGATTTTCTCCGGTTGTGTATTTTCAAATTCTAGCGATCTCGAGCCGGTTTCTCCAAAATTACCTACCCCACCTTTAAGTATTTCAATGTTTTGCTTCTCTGTACTTTTTGTCATTTTTAATCGTTTATTTGAACAGTGCACATTAATGAACATTTTAAACAAAATAATGCTTTTAAATGTACTCCTACTCCTCTACAGGAGGAAATATCTCCTGAACTTCCCCACTCAATCTATCAAGACCCGAGCAGTTGTGTAGAAGTCCAAGGCACGGGCCGGCGCGTATCGGTCAAAGTAATCCCTAGCCATATGAACTTTGACCCTAGGAGATAGAGGTAAAAGTAATTTGTGAAAAAACCTAGACACTGTTTTCTAACTTAGGTTTTTCAGGTGTAAAAACCCTCAGAGTGTGGAAGACAAGTTCAAACGTGTGTTTTTATTTAATCAGAACCAAACCAGGACTAACCTTGTCATTAGGATCTTTGACCTGGACTGATAAGGTGATGTTCTGAGAGACCGGCAGGTACTCGTCTCTCTGTCCGTCAAACAGCCGGGTCCCATAGTTTCCTGCAGAGAGAAACTCGGTCAAACTAGGGCTAAGGAGTCTCCTGATTGAATTACAGTGTTAATAGACGAGGGTATGCATTCTTACGAGAGGCTTTCTGTATGTGTGCTATTAGCCGCGTTCACACCGGAGTACTTTCACCGTACTTTTCGCGTTTTAGTTCCGTGAGTCGCGTTCACACCAAAAATCGTACTTAATCTCGGGTACTTTTACCCCCATTTTTAGAGCCAACTCAGAGAGCGTACTTTTCTGTGGGTGAAAAGTTCTCCAAAAGTGCCCCAGTGCTGATTGGCTGGGCGAATTGCAAACCACGCCCGTACAACTCTGAAAATGTTGTGTAGAGCCGCCATTGTTTTTCCTCGCTACAAAAACACAACGCTCCGTGCGTTGTGTTTGTTTTTGAAAGCAGTTATGGCAAGCATCAAGAAATGATGAGGAGGTGTCGGCGCTTCTGGAGATCTACGCAGAGGACGCGACCCAGGGAATGCACTGAAGCCAGTTCGGTAGCTTTCACTCGACCTGGGAATTGTGCACAGCCCCACGGCACACCGGCTAAAAATAAAGAAACTCGGGCAGGACTACAAACGGCGGATTCAGTGGCCAACGATGACGACCACGACGAAGGTAAAATCAACTACATGCACTGGGGTTTTAATCTGCACAATAATGGTCTCAGATGTACTTTTATTTGCTCAGTAGATCAAGCTAGCCATGCTAGCCATAATAGGCTAACACCGGCCCCGAGCACACAGTACACACACACTGTAACTTTGTCTTGAAAGAACGTTACGCATCGAACTGATGTTCACAATCATGTTTATTTCATAATATTCATCATATTTTATGTTTAACTTGCCTCAACAACATTAAACAAAGTTCAAGCATACATGAAGCACTCTTCAAAAAGGAACAATCCTCCGTGTTTGAACCTCTTAAATCGCTGCATAGCCGATTTATTTGGACTGGATTATCCCAGAGAGTCAAAAGATTCTTTATAACACAGTTTCAGATTTGTGAAACCTTAATTCTATTTGTGAAAATACAAAAAACACATTCCTAGTATGTTGTAAAACTACATGGCGACTAAACTTGTATATTGTATATTGCTTATTTTCCCCTCTTAGGAAAGCGGACACGGGATGCGAATTTCTTTGACACCGCCCAGGCGTTGGAGGACCGGCGTGCCGTGGTGAATGAGTCGCAGCGTGGAGATCAGATGGTGCTGTTCACCAAGGCCCAGGAAACGGAGGACAAGATGCTCACCTCGATGGAGCGCCAGGCAGAAGTGTTCAAGCAGCAGATGGAGCGCCAGCAGCACCAGGATGAAGTGTGGGCGCTGCGCCATGAGGAAGCGTCGGCGCAGCGGCAGGATGAGCGACAAACTGCATTTAATAACAGTTTATTTGGTATAGTTTTTGTAAATACTGACACGACACACAACGTTGCACTAAGGTGTGTATGCTGCTGAGAATATCCCTACACCTGGGACAGTTTATTTTATATTGTTATTACTGTTATGACTTTATTTTATATATAATGTTTACTGACATGTACAACTGACACTTTATTTACATTTAAAATTGTTCTATTTAATGTTATGTCTTGAGAGTGCAATAAAGAAAACCGACATGGCGATTAAGCTTATTTCTCCTGACACTTTATCTTTTGTGACCTGTGTAGCATCCTATACATCACATGTAAGTGATTATTCTGATACCATCATGTTTCATCGGTTATAAACTGGCAAAGCTTTATTTGTCATTTATTTATCATCAATGTTGCAACCTTGTGGGGGAATGGCAGGGGCACATACACAAATATGATAATTTATATCATTTTAAATATTATTTGACCTAAACTTTTAATTCCCCCCCATTTCACACAACACAACATGGAGTCCACTATGGGGCAAAACTAACATGTATGTTTGCATAGTGTTTATGGCAGACGGATGCAGTGGGTCTCAGGAAGATATATAATAAAGGTGGGTATGCTGCTGAGACTCCCTACAGCTGGGACAGTTTATTTTATATTGTTATTACTGTTATTATATAGTACAACTGACACTTTATTTTATATTGACAATGTTTACTGACATGTACAACTGACACTTTAGTTACATTTAAAATATTTCTATTTAATGTTATGTCTTGAGAGTGCAATAAAGAAAACCGACATGGCGATTAAACAGATCCTGTATCAGTTTTTCTTCTTCTCTTGTTTTGTAGCGGGTTGCAAACAACTTTAAGGTGCTTACCGCCACCTACTGTACTTGTAATCTTCCCTCAGGGAAAAGTACTCCGGTGTGAACGCGATCTGTACTAAGTACCCTGGGGTTAAAAGCGCCAGGGCTCTTAGTGCCGGAACTAAGTACAGGAAAGTACTTGGTGTGAACGCGGCTATTGAAAGGTGTTGCATTTGTTAACTGACTCGAGTAAAGTACCGGCAAGTGAAACCTAACTTTGTCATAATTCTCCCCTTTTATCAGGGGCGTAACACGAGTATACTTTCCATTAGCAGGAATACAATGAAGACTTAGCTCAGGAAGTATTTCTCATGTCAGATGCCGATCGTAACAAATACTTTCAATCCATTAAAGGTGGGGTAGGTCATTTTAAATTAATTAAATTGCTCTTTTTTGTCATTTCACAGTACAGGTACTATGTAACGAAATTGTTCCTCTGCATTTGACCCATCCTATTGTTAGGAGCAGTGTGCTGCCAGTGTCCGGCGCCCGGGGAGCAGTGTAGGGAACGCTGCCTTGCTCAGGGACACCTCGGTAGCACTTGGTCTTGCCGGGACTCGAACTGGTGACCTTCCAGTTGCCAAGCCAAGATGAGTTACTTTAATATGTTTATCACTGTGCATTTGGACTTAAAAGGAACTTCCTCATAGTTTGTTCAGCTGTGAGCTAACTTAGCTAGTATACAGTATATGTGTATATATATGTGTGTATATATATATATATATATATATATATATATATATATATATATATGTGTATATATGTGTATAGACTCCTGCTTTTACTTGGTCACTTACAACAAGCTCTGCAACATTTAGCTTATTTTATTATTATTTTCTGAAATTGTATATATTTTACTTCATTGGTCTCACAACAAAATCTGCACTAGTTTATTCTACTCTGTTACTCATTGCACTATTTTATTTTAACATTGATTTGATGTCTCATATTAAGGCTGAATTGTTGGAGCAGCTTGAGATGTAAGTGTTGTATTGGCATATCTACTGTAGCTGCTGTGCATATGAAAATAAAGCCTTTGAATCTAGTGTTAATAGCATTATACCATAAGTATGTGTATTTGATGGTAACTTTTATTTATAGTCAGTGGTGTAAAGTAACTAAGTACATTTACTCAAGTACTGAAGTGCAATTTTGAGGTACTTGTACTGTACTTGAGTATTTCCATGTTATGCTACTTAGTACTTTTACTCCACTACAGTTCAGAGGTCAATGGTGTACCTTTAATCCACTACACCAGGGGTGTCAAACTCAAGGCCCGGGGGCCAAATCCGGCCCGCGACTTCATTTTCTGTGGCCCCACAAGAGCTTGCAAAGAATATAATATGTTTATTATACGGTTACATGCTACTTTACAGAAGCACGTTGCCCATAAACGACATGTCCCACAATGCATCTCAAATTTGACTTTTTCTCAGAATTTGACTTTTTTTGTCCAAATATGCCTTTTTTCTTAGAATTAGCCTTTTTCTCATAAATAGATTTTTTTTTCAAAATGTCACTTCTCTTTTTCAAAATGTCACAATCAATGTTTTTCCAGAATGTGGCTTTTCTTTTAAAATCATATTGTGACATTCTTACTGAAGAGACTTGCAATTATTTGCTCTAGACTTCTGCTTTCAGACGTAGTTAATTATGAAGTTATATTAATTAATGATATAGTCTTAAAGTTACAACCGGCCCTTTGAGTGCAACCATAATGCTGATGTGGCCCGTGATGAAATTGAGTTTGACACCCCTGCACTACATGTATGTAATACCTTTAGTTACTTCACAGATGTGGATGAATGATGTGAAATATAACCAAGTGTTAAATCAGACTTTAGTTCCACCTGGAGTAAATTCACAAGCTACCCTGCAGTATACAAAGTCATTCAAACTAGCTGCACCTTTACCAGCTTTGAGAACACTTTCATGATCAATCATTATAAAACATATCATATATATTATTCTGAAATGGACCAATCTGCACAATGACTACTTTTACTGTCGCTACTTTCACTATATTTTGATGAGAATACTTTTCTACTTTCACTTGAGGAACATTTTGAATGAAGGACTTTTACTGAAACAGAGTATTCCTACACTCTGGTACTTCTACTTTTACTGAAGTGCAAGATCTGAGTACTTCTACTTTTACTGAAGTACAAGATCTGAGTACTTCTACTTTTACTCAAGTACAAGATCTGAGTACTTCTACTTTTACTGAAGTACTAGATCTGAGTACTTCTACTTTTACTCAAGTACAAGATCTGAGTACTTCTACTTTTACTGAAGTACTAGATCTGAGTACTTCTTCCCCTCTGTTTAAAGTCGATGAGTTTATGCTGTTCATTAAGGTGCCTTTGTTCCTCTAAATAACTTCCTCAGTTTGTTGATCAGCTGTTAGCCTGAGAGCTAACGTATCGTTGTCACGGGTTAAACTCTCGTTATCCCGGGTTAAACTCACCCATGAGCATCGTCTCGTTCGGGATCTTCTCCATGAAGCATTTCCTCTCGGTGTCCCCCATGTGAAAGTACAAAGACGAGACAAAAGTGAAGGAAAAGTTCAGAAGTACAACTGTCAACAACTTCACGGCCGCCATCTTCAGACGGCTACCGAGTTCTTCAAAATAAAAAAAACTTTGTTTAAAACTGTCAACGTACAAAGAATCAATAAAACTTCAGAATCATTGACATGTGGAAACAGCGTTGAGAAAATAATACGAAAAACAGAAAAAAAATGACAGAAATAAAGTTCAACGTATACTAAATACAGTTTAAAATGCCTTTGAGCCATTTAAAATACTTTATTTAAAACGTTATTCAAAACGGCTGAGAAAACAATGCGATGAACAAAATATACAATGTAAAAAATATAAGGCTTGTTTGAGATGAGCTGCGTCTCGCCTCGAAAGTAGACGAGAATAGCCGAGTGCAGCTGGGGGAGGTCTCAAACAGCTCGTCTGAAGTCGGACAGCTCGGAGTCGGCTTGACTCGGTTTGCAAAGGCCGAAATTGCGCTGGCGTTCTTCGTTGCAGATGAAATGGATGCAATAGAAATCCCACAATTATTATATCACTACAAATGAATGACTCAAGTGTCTGTTCATTTTAAAACAAATCAATACAAGGGGGGTTAAATCCTACATGTAAAAGACAGAACCACTTATTACTTTTCAAAACTACTTCTGTCAGTGTTCTCGACCAGTTTGCATTTATAAAGAATGCACAAATGTGTTTAATCGTTAATGTCAGATATGTACTAAGTAAATACATTTGTTCCTGCTCAAGATTAGATTCTACTTTATTGTTATTGCACAGATTACAGGAGACAACGAAATGCAGTTTAGCTTCTAACCAGGAGTGCAACAAGCAGTAAAGTGAAAAGTAATGTACACAATCTACAGAATAAAATATAGAATGAATTGAATGATGAATAAACAGTGAGGGGTATGAATACACTAGATATACACAGCAGCCTGTGAGCAGTATGAACAGTATTAACAGTAGGCTTGTTTGAGACAAGCGAGACCTGCGCAGACCTGCGCAATTGCGATTATGTTATGATACAAACAAACGGTGGCATCGATCTGCAATGTTTCCGTTTGAAGCTGTGTGGAAGGCAGTTACCATGACCGCAGGGCTACCTAGCTAACCTAGCTAACGCTAAAGAGTTCAATTTACAGTAAGTAGAGCCTCATTATAATATATATAAATACAAAAATAATAATATATAAAGTTAAATACCTAAGTTATTTTTGGTGTTATATTAAGTTAAATACTAAATCGGTTTGCTTTATGTATACTCTGTCAGAACAATTGTTTTTCAGCTATTATACATTGTTAAGCTAATTTAGCTTTATTAAGCCAACGTTCAGTCCGCATAATGCCCCGCTCTGCAGGCTTACTGTTGTCTACGGCTAACGGTACGTTTATGACACTCAACATATTCCTTTTTCTAATTATGTTATTACCTTCTCTGGAATCAGTGGTGTAAAGCAACAAAGTAGATTTAATCAAGTACTGTAGGCCTACTTAAAGGTACTTGTACTTTACTTGAGTATTTTAATTTGTTTGCTACTTAATACTTCTACTCCACTACATTTCAGGTAAATCGTGTAATTTTCCTCCACTACATGTATCTAATCCCTTTAGTTACTTCACAGATGTGGATGAATGATGTGAAATATAACCAAGTGTTAAATCAGACTTTAGTTCCACCTGGAGTAAATCCACAAGCTACCCTGCAGTATACAAAGTCATTCAAACTAGCTGCACCTTTGCAGGACTTTGACTTGTAACCGAGTATCCCTACACTGCCTTCCCTTCTGTCTGCCTAGAATTGCCTCAATAGCTTTGAATGGTTACCGTTCTGCAGCTACTGTAATACAGAGGCAGCACAGCCTCAGAGGCTCAGCAATCTCAGGTTTGTCTCACTACAGCTAAGTATCTACTGTAAAAAATAACTATAATAATAATAATCTAATGCTTCTTTCAGACATGGATCAAATGGGGCAGAAGATAGATAATCCTCAACAAATACAGAATAACTCAGCTCCCTGTAAACAAAGACAAGACAGTCCTGACCAGAAGACATTCCTAAATGAACAAGGTGGTTGAGAGATCAGAGCATGTTAAATGTTGCAGAGGCATTACTTATGACAGGAAATGATTGCTGACTTCATATTGCAATTATCTTTCCTCTATCCTCAGAGACTGATAGCGATGACGAACAGTACAAGGAACTCAGGAGAAAAGATTATGAGGTAAATGACAGACGCAAGACTTTTGACAAATACCAGAAGGCTAGACCCCATCACCCCTGTTTTAGTCTCTCTTCACTGGCGACCTGTCTGTTTTACAATTTGTTTTATGATTTCACTGATTACTTTTAAAGCTCTTAACGGGTTGGCTCCTGATTACCTCCCTGACTTGTTGTGCCCATATGAGCCTGTCCGCAGTCTCAGATCCTCTGGTAGGGCTCTGCTGGCTGTTACCAACACCAGGCTAAAAACAAAGAGTGATCGAGCGTTCTCCGTCAGAGCAGCTCTGGAACTCCCTGCCCGAGATCTGAGGCTGGCAGGATCAGTGACATCTTTTAAATCACTTTTTTCCATTTTAGTATTGCTGCTATTGTTAAAACGCTGTATACTTTACAGGGTGGTGGGGATTGTATTATTATACCTGCTACACCTGCTGTTCTACTTCTCGCAGCAATGCTCTGTGTGAGAAGATTGGGGGAGGGGGGGGGGTAGATCAGAGGACGTCTCTGATTGCTGCCGGGGTTTAACTAATGTTTCCATAGAGTGGAGCGAAGCTGTACTGTGCTGGTGTTCCTGCTTACATCACATGCATTGTAGGAGCCATGAATGTCAGAGAGTGGGGGTTTCTGTTGTAAATGTCATAAGGTCTTTGTTTATAATGTTGTTACTTATTACTTTTGGATCAAATATTGGTTGGATGAATTGGCTAACATGGGTATAGGGCAGCACTAAGAGTAAATATAATCACCTGTTCACCTGTGTGAGGCGTGTGTGGAAGAGAGGGTGAGAGGCTCGCTATATTTTCCGTTGACAAAATGTAGCGACTTCAAAGTCGCTGAGGTCGGGCCTGGTTGCCTTTGTAAGGCGCGCTATCAAAAATATATGCTGAGATCCAAAAATGTGTTCAACATAATCTCAATTGAATGAAAATGATCAATTTAACATAACGTGTTAATTCTTCCCTGATGACCCCCTCCCTCTCATTAATGAGCTGCAACTCTCTTTTGCCCCTCATCCTTCCATCCACAGGAGTCTCTAAAGACCGGCAGGTCAAAGGCTAAGAAGTTGACGAAAGCCTGTCTTAAAAAGAGGGTACAAGTGAAACTGGTTGAATATGACTTTATAGAAGTGAATTACATCTCTGAACAGTGCCAGAAGAAGTTTGAGGAGACATCCGAGAATGCCAGAATATTGTGAGCAGCAGTGGATTCTCTGTCATTGTAACTTAAGACTGGATACAATATATTGATCTAATGTTGTAATCTTGTCTCCGTTATCAGTTCTGAAAGACACGGCAAGGTTAAACAGGAGAAGTATTCTACAAATGAGGAGTTAACCGATCAAATAAGGACTAATAAAAGGTAGGCTTATGCTAACATTGTTCATTTAACATAAATACTGTATGTGAACATATGCCCCACGCTAACTGTATGTGAACATATGCCCCACGCTAACTGTATGTGAACATCTGCCCCACGCTAACTGTATGTGAACATATGCCCCACGCTAACTGTATGTGAACATCTGCCCCACGCTAACTGTATGTGAACATCTGCCCCACGCTAACTGTATGTGAACATCTGCCCCACGCTAACTGTATGTGAACAATCTGCCCCACGCTAACTGTATGTGAACATCTGCCCCACGCTAACTGTATGTGAACATCTGCCCCACGCTAACTGTATGTGAACATCTGCCCCACGCTAACTGTATGTGAACATCTGCCCCACGCTAACTGTATGTGAACATCTGCCCCACGCTAACTGTATGTGAACATCTGCCCCACGCTAACTGTATGTGAACATCTGCCCCACGCTAACTGTATGTGAACATATGCCCCACGCTAACTGTATGTGAACATATGCCCCACGCTAACTGTATGTGAACATATGCCCCACGCTAACTGTATGTGAACATATGCCCCACGCTAACTGTATGTGAACATATGCCCCACGCTAACTGTATGTGAACATATGCCCCACGCTAACTGTATGTGAACATATGCCCCACGCTAACTGTATGTGAACATATGCCCACGCTAACTGTAATGTGAACATATGCCCCACGCTAACTGTATGTGTAACATATGCCCCACGCTAACTGTATGTGAACATATGCCCCACGCTAACTGTATGTGAACATATGCCCACGCTAACTGTATGTGAACATATGGCCCCACGCTAACTGTATGTGTAACATATGCCCCACGCTAACTGTATGTGAACATATGGCCCCACGCTAACTGTATGTGAAACATATGCCCCAGGTATGTGAACTGAACATCTGCCCCACGCTAACTGTATGTGAACATCTGCCCCACGCTAACTGTATGTGAACATATGCCCAGTGGAGGAAGAAGTATTCAGATGCTTTACTTCAGTAAAATTACCAATACATTTTTGCCAAAAGTACTCTTTCTTCTTCATAGGGAGCCTCCCATGTTTGATGAGATCCGGCCTGAATATAACAGATACCTGAACATCCTGTTGAAGCGGCCGCCTTCAGAGTGGCAGGAGGCTCTGAGAACTACAGACCTCAGAGAGCCAGCAAGGGTGCAGGGTAAAGTGTTACAACTAAGTGAATCAACATCAGTTACAATATGAATGTATTATTTAAGGTATCTTTTTTAAATCCCCTGACTTTGGTTTGAAATCATCCCTGATCACAGACTCGGAGGGAGGTCTGGACTCCAGTGCAGGTGGAGTCCTCCCCCCCCCCCCCACACTGACACGCTGTAAGGACACATCAATGCTCACATCCACCACAATCACCGCCGCAAGTGTTGGTCTAACTCATATACTGTGGTTCAGTGTTTCATTCTCAAAGATGTCAAAGGCTTTATTGTTATATACACAGAAGCTACAGTGTAGATATGGCAAGGACAATCTTAAGTGCCAAGCTCCTCCAACAATGCAACATAATATATACAGTGGAGGAAATAAGTATTTGATCCCTTGCAGATTTTGTAAGTTTGCCAACCTACAAAGAAATTAACAGTCTATGATTTTAATGGTAGGTTTATTTGACTAATGAGAGAAAGAAATTGACATTATATAAAAGATAACGTTTTATTTGCATTTAACTGAGGGAAATAAGTATTTGATCCCCTTGCAGAACATGTGTCAGTTCTTGGTGGAGAAACCCTTGTTGGACACACAGAGGTCAGCCGCTTCTTGTAGTTGGTCTGCAGGTTTGTGCACATCTCAGGAAGGATGTTGGTCCACTCCTCTCTGAAGACCCTCTCCAAATCCTGCAGGTTTTGAGGCTGATGCTTGGCCTCTGGAAGCTTCAGCTCCCTCCACAGATTTTCTATGGGATTGAGCTCAGGAGACTGGCTAGGCACCTCCATCACCTACATGTGCTTCTTCTTTAGCCACTCCTGTGTTGCCTTGGCCGTATGTTCAGGGTCATTGTCCTGCTGGAAGACCCCTCCATGACCCATTTTCAGAGTCCTGGCTGAGGGAAGGAGGCTATCGGCCAAGATGTTACGTTACATGTCCCCGTACATCCTCTCCTCGGTGCAGGGAAGTCCTCCTGTCCCCTTAGCAGAGAAACACCCCCAAAGCATAATGTTTCCACCTCCATGCCTGACGGGGGGGGGGATGGTGTTCTGGGGTTATAGTCAGCATCTCTTCCTCCAAACACGGCATGTCGAGTTGATGCCAAAGATCTTGATGTTGGTCTCATCTGACCACAACACCTTCTCCCAAGCCTTCTCTGAATCATTCAGATGTTCATTGTCAATCTTCAGACGGGCCTCTCATGTTCTTCTTGAGCAGGGGGGGGGGGGGGGGGGGGGGGGGGGGGGGGCTTCAGGCGCTGCAGGATTTGATCCATTATGGTGTAGTGTGTTCCCAATAGTTTTCTTGGTGACTGTGATCCCAGCTGCCTTGAGATCATTAACAAGTTCCTCCTGTGTAGTTCTGGGCTGATCCCTCACCTTTCTCATGATCATCAATACCCCACGGGGGGGCCCGTCTGGGGCGACTGATGCTCATTTTGTGTTTCTTCCATTTCTGAATAATGGCACCAACAGTTGTCTCCTTCTCACCAAGCTGCTTTCTGATGGTCTTGTAGCCAGTCCCAGCCTTGTGCAGGTCTACAGTCTGGTCCCTGAGGTCCTTAGACAGCTCTTTAGTCTTGCCCCTGGTGGAGAGGTTGGAATCTGATTGATTGATTCTGTGGACAGGTGTCTTTTATACAGGTAACTAGTTGATGTTAGGAGTACTTTCCTAAAGGAACAGGACTCATGTAACTGGTCTGTGGGAGCCAGAATCCTTGTTGGTTGCAAGGGGATCAAATACTTATTTCACACAATTAAATGCAAATACATTTTTATCTTTTATATAATGTCAATTTCTCGATTTCTTTTGTATATTCTTACAAATATTTTGTATATTAATTTCTCTGTAAGTGGGCAAACTTACAAAGTCTGCAAGGGATCAAATACTTATTTCCTATATAGAACACAAAACAAAAACCAAGTAAATGCACGAGACGTGTAAATAGAATAAGATAGACAAGTAAAGACATTCAAATGAAATATTGTACAGTGAAATCAAATCAAATGTATTGTTTATTGTAGTGATATATAATAAAATAAATAAATGGTCAGATGCAAGCAGATGAAGTCTTCAGGGCTCGGTGCATCTCCATCTGTCTCCAGCACTGACCCTGTCTTTGGCATTGCAGGGTCACGGATGGTAACGTGGATGGCGACAGCTCCCAATCTGAGGTCAGTTTTCCTGCTGCTGTACCTCATTGTGTCTTGAGTGTTTATTTGCAATGTTCACAGTGTACCCCCCCCCCCCCCCCCCCCCCCATGCAGGAACATGTCTTCTCCTCTGAACCCCACCAGATACTGGACCTGGTGACAGAGTTTACAGATCAGGTCTTGTCACTGACTCGCATCTCAAACTGGGTGGATGAGCCACTGAAGGAGCTCGTGCAGGACATAGAGATGAGCCACTGAAGGAGCTCGTGCAGGACATAGAGACCACCTCTAGGAAAATGTAAGCATGATTTATCCTGAGGTTAGTTTGACTCTAGAAAGGAATAGCCCTAAATAATATGCAGAGGCTAAAGCATTAGATATATGGATATATGGATATATGGATGTATGGATATATGGATGTATGGATGTATGGATGTATGGATGTATGGATATATGGATGTATGGATGTATGGATGTATGGATGTATGGATGTATGGATGTATGGATGTATGGATGTATGGATGTATGGATGTATGGATGTATGGATGTATGGATGTATGGATGTATGGATATATGGATATATGGATGTATGGATGTATGGATGTATGGATGTATGGATGTATGGATGTATGGATGTATGGATATATGGATGTATGGATGTATGGATGTATGGATGTATGGATATATGGATGTATGGATGTATGGATGTATGGATGTATGGATATATGGATATATGGATATATGGATATATGGATGTATGGATATATGGATGCATGGATGCATGGATATATGGATGTATGGATGTATGGATGTATGGATGTATGGATGTATGGATGTATGGATGTATGGATATATGGATGTATGGATATATGGATGTATGGATGTATGGATGTATGGATGTATGGATGTATGGATATATGGATATATGGATATATGGATGTATGGATATATGGATGCATGGATGCATGGATATATGGATGTATGGATGTATGGATGTATGGATGTATGGATGTATGGATGTATGGATGTATGGATGTATGGATGCATGGATGCATGGATATATGGATGTATGGATGTATGGATGTATGGATATATGGATGTATGGATGTATGGATGTATGGATGTATGGATGCATGGATGCATGGATGTATGGATGTATGGATGTATGGATGTATGGATGTATGGATGTATGGATGTATGGATGTATGGATATATGGATGTATGGATGTATGGATGTATGGATATATGGATATATGGATGTATGGATGTATGGATGTATGGAAATATGGATGTATGGATGTATGGATGTATGGATGTATGGAAATATGGATGTATGGATGTATGGATATATGGATATATGGATATATGGATATATGGATGTATGGATATATGGATGTATGGATGTATGGATGTATGGATATATGGATGTATGGATGTATGGATGTATGGATGTATGGACGGGGGGTGGAGGGCGGGCAGACCCAGGTGGATGGACGGATGGACGGGTGGGTGGATGAATACTTTATTCATCCCAAATTGTGAAATCATGTTGTCACAGCAGCAGTGTTATCATGCATTCGACAAGTTACAAATGTAAAAAAGATAGAATAAGATACAAATAAAATTAAAAGTGACACTAGCAGCAAGTATATACAAATTCACAATAGAAAGGACATATATCACTAGAGTATTTAAATAATACACAATATAACGAAAATATAGAATACATTGAATACTTTAAAGTCTACAATATACAATCTCCCTAAGCTACAGAAATATATAGAAATGTACTACAGACACTTATTGGCATAGTATTATATATTAATTACAACTGTGCAAAGCAGCTGTTGTGCAAATTGTTGTGGGTTATAGAAAAAGAGACAGGTGCACTCCCAAGTACCTGTAGTCCTTCCCCATAACAACATCCTCTCCCAGAATGCACAGGGGCTGTTGAAACATCCTCTTCCTTCTGAAGTCAATGAGCTTTAACAAAAGACAACAAACTAAAGGTATTATTAAGACAAAAAAGAGGCATGTACAATACAAAAACATGTAAAGTAAAAAACGGGACTAAGGGAACATAAAAAACCCACAAACCAACCAATACAATTGAAAAAGATAAAATACGGACTTCCGGGGACGCCATGTTCTGAGACACATGTCGGGTGTTCCCAGGACTGAGATGACAGTCAATGCTCAGATAATAAGGTTCAATATCTTAGTGTAACTTTTCATAAGATCAAGAAATTATAATTCCTATTCCGTTGTGAGGGATGTGAAGCAGCCAATCACACTGAGTAACAGTTATGATTTTGTTTATCAGTAAATAAGTGTTTGGGCGAGGGTAATAATCGCCTCTCCTCTATTACTAAGGCTGGAGCCACACGAGGACGATAACGCAAACGGACCAAAATCGATATCAAAAAAGTCTTCCGTCCACACGCAACAGGCACCAGAAACGTGTCCGTTCACACGAGACCGCTCGAAAGCGCTGGAGACGCTGTAGTACATATGCCGGGCCTGTAAGTGGCGCTGTACTCCTGCCGCAAAAGCAGCGAAGAAGACTTCCCGCGCATGGTTGCCATGGTTGCCATGGTTGCCATGGTTGCCCTTCTGTTTATTCTCCGCTGTGGACGCTCTGGCTCTTTTTCTCCCTCCCCGAGGCAAGCGTTTGCTCCTGCTGCTGTAATTCTCTCCGGTTAGTCCACCAGCAGATGACAAACACCCACCTCTCCGCCTCTTCCAAGGAACGAGGGGACCGTGCGGCAGAGTTTCAGTTAGATTTTTTTTTCGCCGGTCAACATGTCCGTTAAAGTTTAAATCTTCCGGACAAAATTAGAAAAGTGCCGGTCAAAGGTCTTCTTTGTTATTTATTGAGCTTTAAAACAAATTGATAACGACTCTATATAATAATATAATAATAAAAAACGGAGCCTCTCTTTTCCTCCCCGTCTCCTGACAGCCCAGCAGCTGATCTCTGAGCAGGAGAGGTGGGGAGAGGCGGGGCTATTGCTTCAACGTTATCAGGAAATGATCGTATAGGCGTAAACACGGAGCCGTTTGCCCCCCCAGAGCGTTTAGTTCGTCGAATATTCTAATATACATTTGCTTTCAAATTCCCATCCCTATCTTATATCCATGACATGTTTGTGAATTCTGCACATGTGTGTGATGAAATTATAAAGGGGGTTACACACAGAGTCTTTTTGAGAAGGAACAAACTCAAAGGGCGCTACAACTCAAGATGGAGATGTATTGAGAGGAGTGGTCGCCTGTTATAAGGTATATAGCAAAGTGAACATATTTTAGACATTACATTGGACATTTTGGAATAGTAAAATAAGACATACAGAGAGGTTAATAATCCTTAACCTCTTTGTATGTCTAATACTTTTGTATTGAGAAATATTATTTTATATTGTACTTTTTTATTTTTAAACAGTATTATTCGCATCTTTATGTTTGAAAAATCTCCCTGGTCCCCGGCTTGAGCTTCAATCTCAGGATCCATGTATCTGTGATCCTCTCCAGAATGGAAGGAGTCATCACATACAGAGCATCAACTAGTTCCTGAACAGTGTCCTTCACATGCTGATATCCAAGAGAGGGAGTTACACAGTCACAAGATGGAGGAATAGAAAGCAGTATTCAATGTTTACTTCAGATTAGCTCCACGTCAGAAATGAGCATGCTTGTCATATGTCTATCTCCATAGAGGCTGAATCATCATGTTAATCACATAGCTATCATATGCCTCAAACAGTCCTGATGCTCTTCTAGGTAATCAGACATCCTGTCATGTTCACAGCTACAGTTATGATACCTTTGTTATCATGTTACTCTCATGTTGGAAGAGGACATTCAGGATTTTCCCAACACTTTACCATGTTGTGTGAGACTGGCTTTCAAGGAACTTGTTTTAATAAATGTTCAAAAGAAAAACATGAAGTGCTAGATACTAAGCTGTGACCAGCATGTGATAATAAACTGATGAATGTCTCTCTCCCCTGTGTGTGTGCAGGGAAGAGGATGATAAGAAACTTACGCTGCAGCTGGGCGAGATAAAGGACAGGATCGTCAGCGACCAGGAGAGAGCCGCCACGCTCAAAAAGAAGGTTCAGCTCCACGACTCGTTAAAAACAGAGGACCACGTAAGGAAGCCCAGTGTACTGTACGTTAGATACAGCAGAGTAGAACTCTGAAGGATGCACTTTCATTTGATTTAACCTACAATTTAAAAAGCAAGAAATCATCTAAAGTGGTATCCTATCTCACCGCAGCACACATTCCAGCAGACTCTGGGACAGTTTCACCCCACAGGCCATTAGACTGCTACCACTTCATACAATCAATCTGTTTGCATCTGAAATATTGATCTATTATTACAATAAACAGTATTTTATTTCACTGTACAGAATGTAATATTACATTCTATCTTTAGCTCATCTTATTTGATTTGACTTATAGTTAACTTCTCCTGCATTACTTGCACATTAGTCTTGCAACATTCTCTTGCACTATTTTATTTATTCTCTGTTCCTTCCTGCACTACTTTTTATTGTTTTTGTTTTGTTTTATGTTGCATTGTTCCTGTGACTTTAAGGTCGCCTATTATTCAAAATCCACTTGTTCATGTCTTTTATACATACACATGTGTCCCCTCTGTGTTAAGAGACTCACAACGTTTCAGGAACAAAGATTCGCTCTCTTTCTGTCCTGATCCAACCATATCAAAAAGTAAAAATATGAAAAAAGGCTTTGCAGAGGGGTGTGGCCTGCAGCATCTCATTGAGATGTTTGATATGTGTTTCTGTCTGTTCCCTACCTACAGGATACGATGTCGGATGCTCTGGGTGTGAAGATAACTGAAGTGCATCGCTGCTGCGTGGACTCCCATATGACCTACCTCAGCACCTTGGAGAAGCTGTCCAGTGTTGAATACCGTATATCTGTACTGTTCCAGTTCTTGGAGAGCATCCCTAAAGAGAACCTGAAGACACTGAGGCTGATCAAGGACAACGATAGGAGGGGCAGGTCTGTGTTTATGAGCCTGGAGTTAAAGGTGGATCCCAGTGGTGTTTAGATCAATATATTGTGGATCACAGTATTTATGCTTTGAATGAGAGAGTGTATGAGGGGTCATATATTTCACCCAACATGTACATAATCCTTTGTTTCCTTTTCTGAGTGTTTTACTATTTGCCCTAGAGTATTCACATATGTTGTAAATGGAAATGATATGACTTGCCAGCAATGTGAACCTGGACATTTCTGACATTGTCAGGATCAAAAATAGCAGTTTTAACCAGAAGGTGGCAATATGTGTACTCTCTGTGACAGGCTGGTTATGATCCCTACTGCAGACAATTTATCTTCAAAATATGCAATCTGTCCTATCCAAATGATCCAGAGTCCCCTAAATCTTCTAAACCCACCCAAAATTAATCAAATCAGCCCACAGAGAGTACAAAGATTGGCATTTTCTGGTTAAAACTGCCATTTTTGATCCTGAAAATGTCAGAAATGGACTCCTCAATAACCCCCAAAACCACTCAGAAATTGTCCAAATCTGCCCATTTTTTAACTAGTGTCTGTACTAAAGTTAGCATCCGGCAGTTTGTATGTGCTGGGGACCCGTACTATACATTTCTTACAGAAAACGTTGTGGTACTCAATATTTATGGATTCACAATAGGACTCTATGATGTGGCAACTAGACTAATAACAGAAAGTGCAGAAAAAAATGGGAAGACTTTGCAAATGAGCTTTTTTTAGTGTCATATGTTGCAGGCCAGTCACTAAAGTAAATGGTTTATTAACAACGTGTAGAGAGGTGCGGTTGTGTGATGAGCTCTGTTAGGTTAAACCTTCTTCTCTTGTACTGCATCATGTTCCAGGCTGCGTGAGGAGCAGCTGAGACTGGAGAAGGAGAAGCACTTAGAAATGCTGAAGAAGTGCAAGCTAAGATCAATGGATGGAAGCAAGAAAAAAGTGAGTCTTCTCTCCAACAGGAATAATGCCATATTGGAAACATTATACCACACATTTTAATTTAATCCAATTAATCAGGATCATCCTCCACTATAAGATTTATTTCTATAGTACTTCTCCTACACCAGGCGCAGCTCAAAGTGCTTTAAACACAAGGCACACATCACAAGTCAAAGCAGAGAAAGAGAATTTCACATCAGGCCAGACGTTAGAGCCTTTTAGCACATATGCCGCATAGCAACATGATATCATAGTTCAACACTTTAAGGGACACACGAGGTAAAAGGTATATTAATACAAAATAAATAATCATTTCATCAATATGATCCCTCGGTAAAATAAAGGAAGACAAAACCAATAAATACGATAAAATATAAAAACCTATTAAATTAATTAATTAATAAAACAATAAAAATAATATAATACATGTATAAAACTTGGCATCAGGTACGATTTGGGAAAAATCAGCTTGAGTACATTACAGCAACAAAAAGTTAATGTTACTTTAAAAAATACATTTTGAACAGTTTGAACTTTATCCTTTTTTCTCCAGGCTAGAAGAAAGCTCATGCCCAGGTGCTTCCCTGTTGAGCAGAAGATCAGAGTCAGTGAGGAGGACAACCTACCTGCCGAGGAAGAACTCCATGCCTTCCTCTTCACCACTGAGGACGACGAGTAGAAAATAAATCAACACATGCCATGAAAAGCCAAACATGTAGAAATATGTGTGTCCAAAAGGAATGGTAGCCGACTGAAATATTGCCACAAACAACTTCTTTGGTAACACTTTACAATAAGGTACACAAAATGTGCTTAGTTGCTGCTTAGTTACTGAGGAACTACTAGATAGTTAATGGTTAGTTAATGAGTAGTTCCTCAGTGAACTTATGGTTAGTTAGTTACTGGTAAACAGACTGGGGGGTACTGTATTAACGAATCATTCGTTAATGGTTACTTAATGAGGAGTTCCTGGGAGACTTTGATTGAAGCAATGGTCCGCTGCAGCAGGGCGCTTTTAAACCTGCCATCTTCGGCTGGCTTGGGTCCCACACTGGATCAACTGGTGGAGGTGGATCCGACTCACGTTTTACTGCTTAAGTCATCATTATTTACCTTACCATTACTTAGGCCGTTTGGGTACGGTAAACTCAAGGAACGCAAACAAAAACAGTAGTTACCCATTACCTAATGATTACCTTACCGTTACTAAAACAGTAGTTACCCATTACCTAATGCTTACTTTACCATTACTAAAACAGTAGTTACCCATTAACTAATGATTACTTTACCATTACTAAAACAGTAGTTACCCATTACCTAATGCTTACTTTACCATTACTAAAACAGTAGTTACCCATTACCTAATGCTTACTTTACCATTACTAAAACAGTAGTTACCCATTACCTAATGATTACTTTACCATTACTAAAACAGTAGTTACCCATTAACTAATGATTACTTTACCATTACTAAAACAGTAGTTACCCATTACCTAATGATTACTTTACCATTACTAAAACAGTAGTTACCCATTACCTAATGATTACTTTACCATTACTAAAACAGTAGTTACCCATTACCTAATGATTACCTTACCGTTACTAAAACAGTAGTTACCCATTACCTAATGATTACCTTACCATTACTCAAACAGTAGTTACCCATTACCTAATGATTACCTCACCATTATCTTACCATAATTTCCTTTTGTGTGAAACGCTCAATGAACTACATCTCTGGTCAACAACACACGTCACCAAGATGGCCGTCACTACTGTCTTGTCAACAAAACGATTGACTACCCTCACTATCACCACAATGAAACACGTCCTGAAGAATGTCATGCAAAGCTGCCTGCCTGCCTTCCTTTGATTCTCTCTGAACTGCCTGGTCGTTTTAATGTTTAATGTCAACCATTTGTGCAGATAGCATGAAGTAGAGAAGATCGCTAGCGTTAGCGTTAGCATTTCTCCCCCGGGCTTAAATTGTGTATTATAGAATGATCACACCGGTGACAGTACTCTTCAAAGGGTTCACGAAATATGACTACTACTCTTACTGTTTAACATTTTGGGTTACTTAATGTTACTTCATGTTAAGGCTAATAAAAATGACACGGCTGTAATGCTAACTAACGTGCTAGCTACTAGCTAGGTAGCTAACTTGATCTACACACTCCTCTTTCATCAGACGGGAAGCGAAAGAACGAGCAAGACCCATTGCTGGTATGATAACAACCTGGTACTAAGCACACAGGCATCTTGTTAAAGTTATCTTATCTTAGCCACCGCCATATAGATAGATTATATCTATATGGCGCTGATCGTATATATACGGTATTATACGTGTATCGTAGTGTCTCAATTGTGACATCACTTACGCGACTCTGGGATTTGTAGTCTTTCTAGTTTCGTATTTTTCAAAGTCTTATATTTCAACAGTTTTAAGACAAACTGTGACTTTTTTGACATGGAAATGATTTTTTAAGATTGACAAACATCATATGTGTAATTCATGGCACAATTCAAACGGGATCGAAAGATAAGTTTTCTCTCCCCATTGACTTCAATGCATAATTTTTCCGAAATAAGGTCCCATACCCCGGAAGTAAGTGGGAGGGACTTCGCCACTCTATTGAATTCAATAGGGAGAGAAAGATTATCTTTGGATCCCGTTTGAATTGTGCCACGAATTACACATATGATGTTTGTCAATTTAAAAAATAATTTCCATGTCAAAAAAGTCACAGTTTGTCGTAAAACTGTTGAAATATAAGACTATGAAAAATACGCAACTAGAAAGACTACAAATCCCAGAGTCCCGGTCCCGCATGCTGGCTCTTAGGAACAGACTAACTCCCCTTGTGTGTATGTACAGCTCTCAACATGCCCAGACTTGGAGTGATTTTCACCTCGTTTAATACTTTCCGCCTCATTCTGAAAGAAAGAAGTGAAATGTGCCAACGTGACGGCCGTCTGGGTGTGTGGTGCGAGACGGGAGATGGAGTTCATTGAGCGCTTTCACACCAACAAATGTGTTACTTCACAGTTTTACGACACATTTTTATTTTTTTGACTTGGAAATTTATCTTTTAAATTGACAAACATCATATGTGTAATTCGTGGCACAATTCAAACGGGATCCAAAGATCATCTTTCTCTCTCCATTGACTTCAATACATACTTTTTCCAAAATAAGGTCCCATGGAAAGGGAGGGACTTCGCCTCTCTATCGATTTTTGGCGCTTTAAAAAAAATTCTTTATACAAACACTGTCATTATCAGATGTTTAGATGAAGCATGAAGAATACAAATTAACAAATACGACAGAAGTATACAAATCCTTAAAATAAATACCTTTTCCACTGCTTTTGAGCAATTTAAACAACTTGATGAGAAAAGATGACGGAAATAAAACAAATCCAAAAATGATTTTCAAATTGCTGCCATGCACTTCTTTAAAAAGCTTTATTTAAAACTGTCAACTTACAAAAAAAACACTCAAATGTTCAAAATGTTCCAAAAACAATACAAAAAATAAAAAGACCACAGAAATAAAATTCAACGTAGAATAAATACAGTTGAAACTGCTTTCAAGCACTTTAAAAAAAACTTTATTCAAAACTGTCACATACAAACTGTCAATAGGCGCTTTCACACCAAGTACTATGCCGTACTTAGTTCATCAGAACTCTTTAGTTCTGATGAACTAAAGAGCAGATCGCGTTCACACCGGAATAAGTCCCTGGGTGCGTTTCACTTCTCTTATTTTTCATTTCCTCGCTCCTCGGTCTCGGTATCACCGGAAGTTGATTTGTCTGCGCCATCTTGAGTATCGTCCCAGTGGCCTTATTTGTGCCGGAGGACCGAGGACCGAGGATCGAGGAGCGATAATCGAGGAACTACCAGACCATCCTCCGGTGAAATCCTCAGACACTCGCCCCGCCCCCTTACTGTGTATCACTCACTGATTGGACGATGCAGCGCATGCACTGATCTGGCTGCTGTTAGACGATCAGCTGTGCGGCATCATCACAAACGGACGTCGCTTCACGTGACGCTCCGGAGGAAACGACGTCCCATTGCTTTTTCTCCCATGACAGTACCTGCTCTCTAGCAGGGACTGAAAAAGGGGTGAAAAGGTTCATGAACTAAGTTCTAGTTCCGGATTTCTTTGGTGTGAACGCACATTTTCGGAACTATATCGGAACTATACTGGGAAAAGTACTCCGGTGTGAAAGCGCCTAATACAACTTCTTTCAAATAGACGAAACATTCGGAAACAATAAGAAACACAGAAACGAATACAGTAATGAAACAAATTCAACGTAAATTAAATACATTTTAAAATGTTTTTCAGTGCTTTAAAGATTTTTTTTTTAAACCGTCAACATACAAACAAAGATGGGAGAAGTACTCAGATCTTGTACTTGAGTAAAAGTAGAAGTACTCAGATCTTATACTTGAGTAAAAGTAGAAGTACCAGAGTGTAGGAATACTCTGTTACAGTAAAAGTCCTGCATTCAAAATGTTCCTCAAGTAAAAGTAAAAAGTATTATCATCAAAATATAGTTAAAGGTCCCATGTCATGGCCATTTCTACTGATCATAATTCCATTGTTGAGGTCTACTAGAATACATTTACATTGTGCAATGTTCCAAACTCACATTGGTTTCTCATACAGCATCTCTGTATAGTATGTGTATTCACTCTCTGTCCTACACGGCTTGTTGGAGCTCCTGCCCCCCCCCTCCCTGTGAGCCCAGTGTGCTCCGATTGGTCGGGACGTTGCGAGGCTCGCTGCTCAGTGAGCTGGCTTACTGGTGTGGTTTCCGGGTCGGCGATACAGCGAGAACAAGCGAAACTCATCCTGAGCACACACAAACACTCACAGCCGAAGTGAAAACAATAAGTGTGGCTTGATATTGAGTAAGAGGTTTATAACGCTGTGAGAATGGGTCTGCGGAGAGCATTTCTCCACCATCCCAACTCGTCTATTACCAACCAGGGGACTCCCTGTTAGTTGAACATTTACGCTAAAGGTCCCCACCCCTCCTGGTGTGTGAGGAGCTCCGCGGATTGGTCCATTTTGGTTCCGGGAACCGCATGACGTCATGCGGTTCCCGGAAGAAACAAATAGAAAAAGAAAAATGTCCAACGAAGCGTTCTGGGGCAGCATAGACAGGTCTTTTCTGTGTCAGAGTTTTACTCTCTACAGGGTGTACTTTGAGGGTTTTTGACTCTGCAGACCGGTTACATGCAGAAAAACCTTCATAACACAAGGGGACGGGTAATAACCAGAAAAGCATGACATGGGAGCTTTAAAGTAGCGACAGTAAAAGTAGTCATTGTGCAGATTGGTCCATTTCAGAATAATATATATGATATGTTTTATAATGATTGATCATGAAAGTGTTATCAAAGCTGGTAAAGGTGCAGCTAGTTTGAATGACTTTGTATACTGCAGGGTAGCTTGTGGATTTACTCCAGGTGGAACTAAAGTCTGATTTAACACTTGGTTATATTTCACATCATTCATCCAGATCTGTGAAGTAACTAAAGGTATTAAATACATGTAGTGGAGTAGAAGTACACGATTTACCTGAAATGTAGAGGAGAAGAAGAACAAAGTAGCAAAACATTGAAATACATAAATAAAGTACAAGTATCTCAAAATTGTACCCAAGTAGTACTTGAGTTTATGAACTTAGTTACTTTACACCACTGGCTATACAGATAGAAAGACTAAGCCTTGCACAGAGGCATGAAAATACATTTTCAAAATGCTCAACAGTGCTGCCAAAATTATAAACTGACTGCTACACAATTAAAATAAATGCTTTTATATATTTATATTAGATGTGACTCTTTGGCGTTTCTGTTATTATTACCTGCTTTAGTTGTTCTGACTGCTAACATCCTGTTATTCCTCATTTTAAAGCCGATATTCCGTGGGGGGGTCGGGGGGCTCGGATCCTTGCCACCTTTTTCATACCTGATAATAATAATAATAATAATAATAATACATTTTATTTTTAGGCGCCTTTCATGACACCCAAGGACACCGTACAATTTGTTAAAAAATAAATAAATAAAACGCTAATAGGCAACAAAACATGATAAAAACACAAACAGGAAATCATGGAGGAGACAGTCAAGTGGACACAAATGAAACATATAATAGGGAGGACTACAGTGAGTAGGCAGATCTGAACAGGTGGGTTTTTAATTGGGATTTGAATATGGTGATTGTGTCTGACTGTCGGATGTGCGGGGGGAGGGAGTTCCAGAGTCTGGGAGCAGTGCAGCTAAAAGCCCGAGCACCCATGGTGACGAGGCGTGGGGTGGGGACGGTTAGCAGACCAGCAGAGGAGGAGCGGAGGGAGCGAGACGGGGTGTACTCCTGAAGAAGGTCAGCCAGATAGGGGGGGGGCCAGGTTATGTAGGGCTTTGAAAGTGAGCAGTAGGTTTTTGAAGTTGATGACTGATTGAACGGGGAGCCAGTGGAGTTGGATGAGGATGGGGGTGATGTGTTCTGAGGCCTTGGTGCCGGTGAGGATCCGGGCTGCAGAGTTCTGTATGATTTGTAGTTTGTTGATGAGCTTGGTGGGTATGCCTGAGAGGATGGCGTTACAGTAGTCGATGCAGGACGTGACAAATGCATTGACCAGGATTTCAGTGTTTGATTGAGAAAGGGATGGGCGGAGTCTGGAGATGTTGCGTATGTGGAAGAAGGCAGTCCGGGTGATGTTATTTATGTGAGGTGAAAATGAGAGGGAGCTGTCCAGGATGACACCAAGGCTCTCACCTGATGAGTTTGCATCCCTGAATTTTAATGATGCTATTTGTTTTATGTGCAATGCCGAGATCTCATGATCCTTTATGTGTTCTCTGGTCAGTCGAATCTCAGGTTGAATATTGATTATCCTGGTGCCATTTTCTTTTTCCATTGACAAGATGTGCTATTCCCGTCTGATGGTTGATATAAATGATATTGCAGAATCTGTTTTCTTCATAGATAACGTGTTTTTCATTGTTTGTTCAGTATTAAAAGGTCCAAGTCCCACAATTGAATTTAATATTCATTTGACATGTTAACTATATCATCAAGTGCTTCATGGGAGTAATTGCAGGATGACTCAATGTTTCCCTTATGCAACATGAAAGTATCACGATATGTATCGGTTGAGTATCGGTATCGTTCAGTGGTATCGGTATCGTAAAAAAGTCAACGATATGCAACCCTAGTCACAGTCAATTACTGTACCTCAAGTGCAACATCATTCCCAACTTAAACATGTATCTCACTCACTAGTATGTGACACAGTTTTATACTTCCCAACACATTCTGTATAATATCACATGTGCAATAGCGAAGCAGGGCTACTATAATATGTAGTGCAATTAACAGTAATACTCACTGTATAAAGGGCAAATGTCAAATCTGCACACACTGGGGAATTACACTTCTATAGTTGCCGACAGTTTAGTATTTTTAAAGTACCGTTACAATGTCAAACATGCTCAAAACTTTCTGACACACTCTCTTAAACATCTCGAACATTATACCTTGTTTACACAAGTTAACATCGATCCTTTTCATGTACTGACCTGTAGAAAACAGAAAAGTGCAGCAGGGTGAAATAAACACAGGATCCGGTTGATCGTCTGGATTGCTTCTACACGACACGCCCCCTATAGGACACGCCCCCTATGCGACACGCCCCCTATACGACACGCCCCCTATGCGACACGCCCCCTATACGACCCTACGGTGGCTGAGAGACATTGATACCGTACATGGCAGATTAAAAACGAATTGCAAATGTTATTGTAGCATTGCAGCAACTATTTGGCAAATAAATGAATAACCTAGTCTATCTGTTTGAGACACAGCATTATATGACTTTCAGCAGAATTCATTTTGTCTAATTAATAAATTAAAACAAAAAGGTGGCTTAGTAAACTTTATCTTATTTTTGTAGTACATATAAATTAGGTATTAATGAGATCATCTATTAATTATGTTTGTCTAACATGTATTTATACATAAATGTAGATATTTATGAACATCTAAATATAATTGTTAAAGGTTTTAAGATATAAATAATCACATCATGGGGTTATTAAGGTTTCAAACAGGTTCATGCAAGGTAGGCCTACTATAACATGAAGACATGATTTTTAAAACTAATTTCTGAATCTCACATTAGCCTGTAGTTTGGTCTGTTATTGATATGGGCTGGACACCCCTTCACAATGATCATCATTTACTTTTTTTAAACGAAATTAGGAGGGCCAGTCAGGCCACTAATGAGCTCAATCATTCACATGTATTATTATTACTTTATAAATTAAGAGTACTAGGGGTCTATTACAAAACCTATGAAGGAATCGTCATGCATTCTGAATGTTTCTGTACTTTAAAAACATCATGGCTCAAGATCCTGTTCTTGTTTAAGATTATTCATATTAATTTGTGAATTTAACATCCATATTCACTCTGCAAAACTGAAACAACTAAACTTTTTTTTTTAAAGCATTGCAGGCCTAAAGCTCCACGTCAGTGACCTATATTTTAATTTCTTCCATCAAACTTTAAAAATGGCAAACAGCATGTTTTTAAAGATTTAATCTTTTAAGAAACAAAATATCAACTTTGAACAGAAGGGTTTAAAAACACGTTTTTAATGCAAATACAAATAAAAAAGCTATTTGTCATTTCAAAATTCACTTTTATTGTCTGCGTGAAAAGCACAGTAGGCTATGAGTATGGGATTAGTTTTGTTTCATACAGATAAAGGAACACTTTCTCAGAATCAAGGAAAACTAATTTAATTTAAAAAATGAAACTATAAGTTGCAAACAAATCATTTGTGTACTCATGTAAACTATAAGTATTTTTTCTTTGTTTTAACATATCTTTTTGTTTGCAGTTCTCTTTGCTTCTTTCTCAATGATCAGACTGTAGCTCTTCTCGTTTGCGCTCCCTCATTTTTTGTTTACGATTCTGACACAAACGTCCCAGGTGGGCGGGACTTTCAGGGGTGCGTCCCCATTGGCTACTCGGTTTTTGAGTGACAGCCCACTACACCACAGATTATACAGTGCAACTCATGCAGCAAACTCCGGAGCCCACTCGGCCACGTTTGTGTTGGTGTCTCCTGGGGAGTTTTCATGAAAGTTTTTAGTTTTATTTTTTGAAATTACATTTATTTTGCTTGACTCAGTTTTGTTTCTCTTAAACTCTTAGTTTTTGCTTGATACTGAGAAAGTGTTGCTTTATCTTTATGAAACAAAACTAATTCCGTACATCTAACTTTCAATATATTTAAAAATAGATCTCTCTCGCTCATCTGCGTGCGGGGGCGGGGCCTCACAGACACGCTGCATCTCTCTCTCGCCTCTCTCTCTCTCTCTCTCGTCTCTCTCTCTTGCTCTCTCTTCATCTCTCTCTATCCTCTCTCTAGCTCATTCATCTCTCTCGCTCTCTCTTCTCATCTCTCTCAACTCTCTTCTCTCTCTCTCTCTCTCTCTCTCTCTCTCTCTCTCTCTCTCTCTCTCTCTCTCACAGATCTGCCGGTAATGAATAGTACATGTTGTGACTTGTGAGGAAACCGTTTCCACTAATAATTCCAATAAGTATTCCAAAATGTATTCACTTCAGGTTTACGAAAGTAACTATAATGAGATTACTCGTTTTTCAAATACAATGCGAGCTGAATTGATTTTTGTATTCTGATTACGTAACGCCGTTACATGTAGGCTATTGCGTTACAACCCAACCCTGCACGCACACACACACACACACACAGCACTCTCCGCAGTAGCCCTCTGGCAGTGAGTGCAGCGGGACCTGGGAGCGAAATGAGCGGCTCTGAGCTCGGGGGCGGTCCGGAGGATCTGGAGCCGCTGGGCCGGGGGCTGGTCGACCTGAGGCGGAGAGCCCTGCAGGAGCTGGCCTCCGTCAGGATCTTCTCAGACCAGTTCCTCACCAAGTTCCTGTGGGCCAGAGACCTGGACGTGGAGCTCTCCCTGAAGGTACAGCCCGTCCTGCCCGACACACACACACACACACACACACACACACACACACACACACACACACACACACACACACACACACACACACACACACACACACACACACACACACACACGCACAGTACGTTTGACTTACTTTTCATACACAAAGGTAACTCAAAGTGATTCATAAACCAAAACCAAAACAAATACTAACCCCACATTTCCAGGTAATAAGCAGTAGTCACACATAGCTTTGTGATAAATAACAACACTTAATACACAGGACTTAATAAAGCAAGAATAAAATAAGAACAAAATAAAAATAAATAATAAGAAAATTAAAAATAAAAACCAGTAAAAATACAAATTCAATTAAAAGTTTTAAAGTTGTTGTGTATGTAAGGAAAAGGTACAGAAAGTGTGTATACATATGAAATAAAAACAGATGAGTGTGAGGCGATGTGTGGGTAGAAGTGTGAAGTCAGGCTAATGCAGTATACGAGTAATAATATTATAAGTATTTTACACACACACTTCAGAGAGAGGAGTATTTTACACACACACTTCAGAGAGAGGAGTATTTTACACACACACTTCAGAGAGAGGAGTGTTTTACACACACACTTCAGAGAGAGGAGTCAGATTGACTTAATGAAGTATAGAGCTGTTTATGACTGCTGCAGGCAGAGGTGGGAGAAGTACTCAGATCTTGTACTTAAGTAAAAGTAGACCCTGCTGAAAAAAACAGCTTAGACCAGCCAGTCAATATTAGGCTTTATTAGTTTGCTGGTTTTGAGGGGTTTTGGACACTTTAGCTGGTCAGGATAGCTGGTTTGGTCACAGTGTTCTAGCTGGTCACCATTAGCTGGTCAGACTGGTATGATCTTGAGTAGAACTTTAGCTGGGATTACTTGATGGTTAAGCTGGTCATATATGATGATGAAACACTCTCACCCAATTGCACTAGCTCAATGAACATCTATCATTTCAGATCAGAGCACCTACCTCACCAGAAAGGTACCAGAATGTATAGAATGTATTGTCTGTAAATAAATACTCATACATCAAATGATTAGAAGCAAGAAAATAATTTATAACACACAATGAACATTAACACACATTTGAAAACATTTCAAAACACCCATTACTTCATATTTGTAAGCAATTTCCTTCAACTGTTTCTTTCCGCTTTTCACAAGGTCCTGCATTTTTTGTGAAATGTAGTAACCGGCCAACTTCTCCCTCTTGGTCTTCTCCACGTTTTGTGAATTCAGCCATCCTCTGAAGCACTCTTGAAAAGAGAAAGGAACAACAGATTAACTTTTAGCTTTGTGTTATGATTACTTAAATATGTGCACTGTGAGATGAAAAATAAACATTTACTGTGATTGGTCTATTATCCACGCAATACAATCCTCGTGTTCTGTGAACGGTTGGTGAGGTAATCCAGGATCCAGGAGGTGAGGTGGTGATCCACCCCCGAGAGCTGCAGCTTGTCCAGTGGGGTCTGGATGGTGTTGAAGGCACTGGAGAAATCAAAGAACATGATCCTCACAGAGCCCCGAGCCTTCTCCAGGTGGGAGAGGGACCTCTGCAGCAGGATACCAAACCATATGTGTGATCGGGTTATGGATGGTCAAATTCATTATTTATTTATTTCAGCGATGAGTGTATCTGCTACATTTTAGGCATTTTTTGCTACTCTCTAAATGCGTCGTTCAGGCACTTTACAAACAAGCCTTCATGTGATCCAGTACTTGAACGAGCCATCGGGTACTTACAGTTTTGTACACTAAAACTATATCCATTAGAGAAAAAGTGACTTTGGACACTGTTGATAGTGTAGACACATGTAGACAGAGCAAAAACATCTGTGCATAAATACAAATTAATTTTGACTGAATAGCATTCAGTGGCTCCAGTTTCAGGGTCTTGTGGATGTCGGTTCACAGTTACACTGACAATCACAGAGCTTCAGAATTCAGAAGTCAAAATGTGTCCCTCTTGAGGCAACTAAAACACTAAATACTGCATATATTTATCTGGTTAGGCTTGCCAAATATTATCCTAGACATTTTTTTTTGGTGTAAAACAAGCAATACAGAAATATTAAATCCGCTAATTGTAAATGATAAGGTCACCCTACATTGATAAAAGATCAAATAATAAAATACACTGGCGTACCGCAGACTGTATACTGTAGTACGCAGTGTTTGATGGCTGTTGAGTAGAGCTGGTCCTCTGGTTGGCTCAACATGAAGCTGAGTGGTTTACTGTGCACACACCTGGAGCTCACCCAACTGTGTGTAAGCTCAGCAGTCTGAATCACTGGCACACAAACTGACCCTGACTCTTACCACACAAATTCTTCTTGGATTTGCTTTTAATAAAACTTCGCAACTGAATTAGTTTTTTTATTTTCGGTTTGATCAGTATTTACCTTGAGGGTTTGGTACTGGGAACAGAACAGATTATAGGCGATAAACCCATTTGATCTGTGTCGACCTGTAGCTGATAGCACTTGTTTAGCATGTGTTCTATAGTGCACCAGTATTTCAACTGCAGTCACAGGGGGGGGGGTGGACGCAGTTAATTCCTATGAATAACTCTCATTTCCTGTGTCCTGTGCAGCTGTTACTGAACTATCAGCGGTGGCGCAGGGAGAGTCCTGAGATCAGCCGCTGTCTGTCCCCCTCCTCTGTGCTCGGCCTCCTCAACACAACGTACCACGCTGTCCTCCCCCAGCGGGACCACAGCGGCAGCAGGGTGCTCATCTACAGGATCGGTCAGTAAACCTGTGTTCTTTGTGTGGATATATATATATTTGCTTTGCTAACACATTCCAATATAAGGTGATATATTCATATATATATTTATGTTCCTGTTGATACGTGTTGTAACCAGAGCTTACTGCTACAGACTGATGCAATGTGAATGAAGACAGAGTACAGTGGTTTCTGTTTGCAGGACAGTGGGACCCAAAAGACTGGTTGGCCTTCCAGGTGTTCAGTGTCAGCCTGATGACATCAGAGATCATCTCCATGGAAACGGAGACACAGACGCAGGGTCTGAAGGCCATTTTTGACCTGCAGGGATGGAGCTTAGGCCACGCTCTGCAGGTTAACCCTTCCCTGGCCAGAAAGATTTCCTCTGTGCTTTCGGTAGGCCTAGCATCCTGCTCCAGGTCAGCTTTATGTGAACACAGCTCTTACTATGTGCTGTGAAGCTGGACACACAACTCTACATATGCTAAGGTGCAATGCTGCATCCATAATCAAACATTATACTAAATAAACACTATATAACAGAAAGGAGAAATCGATGTCTCCACTAACCTCCTCATGCAACACGGCATTTCGTGTTATAGTCACGAAATTAATCTATTGATTCGTGTTCACCAACACGATTTCGCCATTTTTTTCGTGTCACACAGAACGATTTTAAAAGCAATGTAAATAATAACAAATTAGAAGGAAAAAGACATTTAAAAAAATACAGATTTCAGTATTCTGACACAGAACGATTTTAG